TACGATTTTATAATATCTAGTTCAAATTTGTTTCGACAACCCAATATATTACATCATCACATTGTTTACTTACAGAATAATAACTTGTTATGTCAAAAAACTACCACGTAGTAGTAAACACGAAACAGCTGATAAATTTTTCTACGTATGTAAACGTGCTAGGGTATCGTATTCAACATGTATTATAGTGAACATTCCTGTGCGGTGTGTGGAACTGATAATTTTAGGGTCGCTGCTACTGCTTCTCTGATGATATTACCACACGAGCGTTACCGAAACGCTTATGACATTAATACGTTGAAGTGGGCCTATCGCTCCTGCTATCACTGTTTTTTCCCCGTCCTTGAATCGAAACATTGGTAACCTCCCATTGTCAGTGCGCGAGCGTCCAAGGCCATCAAAAGCTCCTTGTTTGACGAAGTTCAGTATCTGTTATATGAGCAATTGTAATGGTGTGTCAAGATCAGTGTGGTTTGTTAGTTCGTCACAGATTAATCAGATGCATTTAATGTTTTCCGTACTCTCGTATATTTGAGAGCAGTGAAGCTGCAGTCTCCAGTTAAGCAAAATTGTTTCAAAGGCGTGCACTGTTATTGTTAAGCAGTCGTGTTCCACGATGGTATTCTACGGCTTATTAAGATCTGTGAGTATATCAATTTGTAAACGGACTTAATTGTGTGTTCTACATTGAGCTTTGGCGTTGCTTTGTCTAGCGCACGTATCTAGCCTTTTTTTCAACTATTGTGTTCAATCCTTTATTTTTTCTTTTTTTTTTTTTTATATATCTTTTTTAATATTATATATATTTTTATATTATATAATATTTTAGTTTTCCATTGTACAGCCACGTTCGTACTCGCTCGTTCGTATTAGTTCGGATAACCGAAAGTGACAGAAACGGTTTCTATCATGTGGTCAAGCAGCTCATGCCGACGAAGCCAAAGATTTTTATGACAAACACAACCGCGACTGTAAGAGCAACGTTTGAAATGTAAGGTTTAAGCAAATAAGTCTAAAATCATAGGACTACATATATTTGACGTCAATTGTCAGTCACATGCGTTCGTACATTACTGTTTATATCGCTTGATGTATGTGAGGTCGAGCACCGTGGAAAAGCGGGTGAAAAAAAAAAAAAGTGTGAAAATCGATTTCGTGTCATTTCCATAGTATCACACTTACCTAAGAGGTGGAAGTAGAAGTTAGCTTAACTAATACAGATCAGCTTCTCTTCATTCAACTTACTAAAGCTACTGCAAACGATGTATGGTCTATTTAAGCTGATAGGTAGACCGGCTGGTTTTTTTAAGTCATGTCGACACGTTTGGGTTTCGTGAGACCCGCGAAGGTAAAAGTTGCCGCAATGAATATTCAAGTTAGGCGAACGAGTGGATTATTTCGAACATCTCTAAGATAACATCCGAAGTGTAAATAAGTTATTATACAAAAGGATATTTATTTCATCTTGCGTATCGAAGATTTTTCGATCAATTTTAAAGGACAAAAAACAGGTTGAACGGACGGATATTTCTAATTAATATAAGGTCTGGATTGGGTTGTACTAGTTGTTATTGTCTGGGCAAAAAGCGAATTGATACGTCGTGATCGTCATTGCTAGGGGTTCGCTAATTATATACAATGGTGACCATTCACGCAAGAATTTAACATTGTATAGAAGGCTAGGGTGCAATTTTAAAAATAACAGATACTAATACCTAATATAGTAGTATCGTCATGAAGCGGTAAACTGCTGAAACCGTCTAAAATACCTTCACACTTCAACCTGAAAATCAATTTATGCATAGGATCAAATACTTTCGCTTATGTGTTTTGCATTCAGGCTGACAGTCACTCGGTGCTATGAAATTGATTTCAGGATAGTTGTAGGATTAGGGCTCCTGTTAATGTGTGGTATTCTCCTAATTATACTGACTTTATCAAATGAAGCCTATTTCAAAAAAAAAAAACTGATGGTTTTTGTTATTTAGTTTTAGATCTACGGGTCTAAAAGCTCATGATGAGATACTTGTCGAATGCATTTAGGTGCCAATGCGTTTCGAAAACATCCACCAACCCAGCCTTACCCAAAAAAAAAAAAGGTTTTTTATTTGTTGAGGCTAGTATCAGGAACGCCCGTTAGCACAACTACCAATGCCGACATCAGCTTGTGTAGCAGCCCTTAAACTCAGACACATATTTTAATGAATTGCAAAAAGCCAATAGCTCATAACCGTGTTTTTCTTTTGTTACTGGGCTGAATGAGGCTCCACCACTTTACTTAGGAATACCAATAATGTTCCCTATAGCCTAACACATATTGTGCACCTTCTACGTTGTCCTGCTTGCGAATCTCAGCTATGCACAATTGTCACAATGATCATTATGGACATCACCATTTGATTCACCATAGACACGGACATTATGGAATCCAGCTCCTTCACCATGGAGGATATGGCCTTACTGGCTTTTAAATGTATGCCATCGATCACGTTGAAAGGGCAGTTGTCTACATTGTGGCTAGCACAACTAGAAAATACTTATTACCCGGACTATTTGATTTCGCTTAGGAGGGGCTAGACTTGAACATGGCCATGGACAGGCTTTCTTTCGTACTGAGAGTCAGCCGTCTTATCGAATGCCTAACAGCGATACCAGACGTAAAATTCGAAACATAGAGGAGAAGCTAAGTTAAGTAAGGTTATCATAGATGCACCTTCACTACAAGGCGACAACCTAAATTGTACTGCATACCCATGAGGTACAGTGATTCTTTAAAGTCATTAAGCGTTAGACGCTGAAAATGCTTCGACCTAGAGTTTTGCACTGAAAGAAAATTTTAAGGGTATCGGCACGAATCCTTATCCACATCCAGCCTGCCTTGGCTACGACTGTCTCCAATTAAAAGTGTGACTGTGAAGTTTTGATGGTGGCAAGGATTGTGCTTTATTATAAGGTATTGTGCGGTACTTAGAACCACGGGAGTTCATATGCTAATAGTTATAGCTAAGTTTCCTAGAATGGAACAAAATAGGCGGAAAGAGTATGTATGAAAGAATTTAATATCTAGGAAAGTTTGTTAGTTTGAAGAAGTAATATAATTTAATGTATAGACCCGGATCTTTGTCATAATTTCAATGAGTCGCTTTGGTTCCCGGGCATAGTGCTCCTTTATAAGTAGCCATGTTTTATATAATGTAATTTTTGCCACCGTGTCGACTGTGGTTGCCTCTGATAAACGATACAGTTTGCATAACAGTGAAATGTTTTCATATGCGATCCATTAAGTTTGTTCCGCTTGTTAACATAACAAGATTTCAATGTATCTTCTTGTAGGAGAGCGCATTTAAGTTTAAACGTTTATTAATATTAGTTGCACCTAGTTGACAGACGTATAAGATCAATTTTGGTTTTTGTAGTTCCTGGTCGTATTATGTGCCATCTAGTCTATAAAGCTTTGGTGATTGATTATCCATTGTCCAATAGATTCCAATGTCTAATGTAATATTAAATGTCTATCATAAATAAAGTCGCTTAAATATACAATTGCAGAAAAACAACTTGAAAACAAAAAAAAATATGTGCAATTTTCCACGTGATTCTATCCTTTATCGGTTTAATTCATCATCTCCACCATTTTCTCCATTAAACACCCTCAGATATTTTTTTACTGCAATTTACTGTGCTTCTCTATGGATCACCATTAATTTGTCATCAAAAGCTTCATTCAAGTTATTCGAAACTTAACTCAACAGTGAACATTGTTTTTTGTTGTTCATCGATTCAGCTTATGTGCCTATCGTCGATTGGCAACGTATATAAATAGGCCAATTACTTCCCCAGAAGATGTCCATTACATGAGAAGTTGGGCCTCGTCTTTTGTTCGTCGCCGCCGATAAAAACGAAAGCTTTCAGAGCCCCAATCACCGCCCACTGTAAGGTACCCCACAGCGTACTTTACCATGGCAGTGATTGCGAAAGCCGTTACCCAACATACACTATTGCTATCACGGTGATCTTTCAATTTGTTTCGCTGATCGAATAGAATACGCCTGTCCGCGTTCTATACTAACGGCGTTTGTGGTTCGTCAACAAAAGCCGATTTTCGAGCCAGTTTTGTTCGACGAACCAAAATAGGCATGTCTGAATGACTCAATACTTTTACATATGTGCAACGTAAAAATGACGTCCGCCATAATAAGCCAGTAGATGCCCATCGTCTGTTATTACTGTTGCCCGCGGCAGCATTATCGCAATTTCGGTTATTGATAGTCATCGAGGCGCTAGCATCTTTGTGTAAACCAATCGATTGTAAAATGGCAGCAGTTGCAACGCTAATAGCCATAGGAAGAAGTTGATATTAGTGGCATATGCTACCCCGATATTTGGCTGCCGCTGTTTCTGCACGACTCTACCATTGTGTTGGCCGAAAAAATCAACAATCATACTGTCTCAAATAATCGAAATATTGACAAGCTTGCATTATCGTCATCTCTGCCATTATCCATAATGATGGTAACCATCGTATCTAATTAGTAGGCTTAATCAAAAAGTGCGCCAAATGAATGGATCCACCCAAAAAGCTTGCAGCGCCCCCGTCACCATACACCTTCTGTCTCTATCTAGCAACAACTGTAATCGTAGTAGTAACACTAGTTCCGATCACTAAGTCCTCGCTGTCTATCGTGCTTAGCCTAATAGGGTTCTACGTTGTTTTCGGGCAGACAGATATGGCAGTAGTTTGAAACTGCGGTTGAAGCATCGTCAACCTTTACATCGACAACATTATCATCGACGGTATCACCGCGGCAGCGGCGCCCACCGTCATCGGCGGCATCGCCGAAAATAACGGTGTGCCTGTCGGCTCTGTTACGTAGTTTCTTCTAGATCAAGAGGGGGGTGAAGGGAGGAATTATGATTGGCCTGTGGATCCGCCAACGGTCAGTTGCTGGTAGACATTCATATGGCAATTCGTTCGAAAGGCCTATCAAGAAAAGCCATCGTGTATGGTCACGTTGTTCGGCTAGTCGTCGGCCGCACCTACCGGCATATGATGGCGGAGGTGTTCTGAGATCCAAGGCCTTCTGCGGGGGGTAAGTGCATTGGTTAGCTTCGCACAGCTGAGGGTATATCGCAGCATAGACTAATGGCAGCGAACAACTGTTTCCCAGTGACCGAAGGCAAGCTGCATAAAATGACGGATTGTTCGCAGTTACGATACAGTGACTAACGGCAACGGCATACCTTGAAGCGAACCCCACATCATCAGTGCATCAAGTTAGTTTATATTCTTACTTTTTTTTTTAACAGGAGTTCAATAAAGGGGGTACTCAGCATGAAAACAGACCGAATCGACTGATAGCGTGAATAAAACAAAGGATTCGTGCGTAATTAGAGCTTGATTGCGGAGTGTCAATTGTAAGCACAGTGGAAGAAACTGTGGCCCAGTATTGGATACATCCTCAACTGAATGACTGAGTGCTTCAAAATACCAATACCTAATATCCTGCCTCAAATCGAAAGCTTTATGGTGCCTAATCATTTTATTTGAGATGTCCTGCCATAAACAAGAGATGTACTACAAGTGCATAGACAAATCGATAGCTGCGTGTTTTGCTGTTAGAAAAGTTGAACTTTAATTAGCAAATTAACAGTTAGAGGTTTTGTTGGGCCTTTCACGTAAAGTGAGCACGTAGCATTTTAAACTTCTACTTATCGTATTGCTCGGTTTTAAATGCGATGTTAATTTCTAGGAACAAATAAATATGAATCTGAGAGCGTTGTTGGGCGTCATGGTTTTGGCGCTGGTTGTGTCTCAGAACGAGGCTGGAATAAAGGAGAAAAGACTCGCTCAGTTCTTTTTACTCGGAGTAGCACTCGCTCCTCGAGGCTTCGTACCTGTACCCGTCCCTCAGTAAGTGACAGTTTTCTGTTTAGCCAAAATACACTCTTACCGCACCAGAGTATTAATACCACGGATCGAATATTGTTTTGTATTTATTTTTTGTACTTTATTTGATTGCATCTATCGCGAAATGTACACCGGCTTTTAGTATTCTAACAAAAGAAAAGTAGATATTCAGTTAGGTTCTTGGACCAGAAGGGCTCCACCGAACGATTATCATATTATCGTCATTACGATATATTTTGGATATTTTTCATGGATACTTGGCCCAATTTTTTGTGGCTCGTACACCGTTTGCGCCATTGCATAAAGCTTGTTTTTGCCTCTTTCTACCCTCGTTTCGCGTGTATCTGAGCAGATATAAGAATCATTACGGCCTCAAGCAGCAAAAGCTTGAGCATATACACATTCATGCTCACTCCAAGCATGAGGACCACGGCGATTATCATCATCATGGACATCAATATGAGCATCATGAAGACCATGGGTATGGCCACGGCGGATGGTAACTTTGGCGATTGATACCTGCGTACAAGCAGATAGCCAGAACAGCTCGCAACTGTTGATCGACAAATTGCTGCTATAACTACCAATGGGTTGCTCGTTCCGATTTCACCACCTGTACAAATCCACGCACATACTGCAACCTCATCTGAATTTGAAATCACCGTTTGATTTATGACCGCAGTCTATAAATAGGACGTAGCGTCGGTAGCGATCCCGCGACCGTGCGGAGTTCATTTAGATGTTTTAGACGAAGCGGTTAAAAATGTTTGACTTAAACATCAGAGAACAGCTTTTATATATATAAGAAAAAAACATTCTAAACTTTAGCGGAATTTAGCGAAAAGATAATAATCCAACAAGTTTCTAAAGCCAAAATTATTCTCCACTTTGATCCTTATTAGGAAAAAAGTAATCGTGAAGCATGAAACCGAGGAGCCTCTGTTCGAGATGACCCTCAACTTAGGAGGACTATAGTTTTAGCTATTTAAAATAGGCTTTACCGATAACTCACGTAAATTATTGTAAGAAGATGACAGTTAGGAACTACAGTTAGGAGCGCAAAATTAAACAGGACTTGATGCCTTCAGGCTCTATGTAGACGTCAAGGCATGACGGAATAAACCGGTAGGCAAGTAAGTTCGTTTAGATGTAGACCTTTGTACGCATCGTATGATAACAAAGCTTGAAATAATCAAGCTTTCACGTAAATGTTTCCGCATCGCTTATATCTAGTCCGGTGTCCCTTTTTGTGCGCACATATGAACGTGATCAAATCTGTGTGTATCTTTTGGTCTTGTTTACTGTACGGATGCTTTTATGTAAACATTCAAAGAAATCTGCGAGTAAAAGCCATGTGCTTTACATGTGTTTATATAGTTCATACGTGTTTAATTTTTGTCACATGTAATTGTACTTAACGCAGATGTTGTCACAAAACCCGTACTTTATATATTGTGATGCGCCGTATCGCGTAGTTAAGATATATGGCTATCAGGGTACTGTAAATGTATTGCTATATAAATATATGTTTAGCAGATGGTAAATAGTTGAAGGTAAGGTTTCAATGACCCGTGAAAGTGAATACAATGCGGTCCTGACAATGTGCGCCTCCAAATCACAAGTTAAAAATTGCTTCGAACTCATAATGTATACTTATATGTAGTGATTGTGATTCCATGCGTCTTGTATATATACTGTACATAAATGCGTGTTAAATAAACGAGCCAGTTCTAAAAAAAGAAGTACCTTTACATTTTAGTTCATTGGGGACCTCCCATGTAAAAAGTGCCCCTTTTAGAAGCTTATGACTAAAGACTATAAGCCTACACACGTGATGCGAGCTTCACTAAACGTAACAGGTTGCAAGCAATGATGGCCACTCACGCTAAGATTATCTGCAAGGTGAGTTATTTTAAGAACCCACGTAGTTTAAAAATCAGACTGATTGGCTGCGATTCCGTTTCATAAATTTAGCGTCCTATCCACTACAGGGTAGTCAAAAACGTAAACTATCCTATGAATTTCTAAAAATCGCACAATCCGCCATAGAGGTATCAACAAAAGTGTTCAAAAAGTACTACTAGATAGCATTCGTATCGAATCTCCGTCTTTGTAGCAAAGTGACCAGTCTTGTTAATTGGCGGTTTACTTTATGTTATAAAGTAAACCGCCATATTATATGTAGATAATAATCTACATATAAAATGTAGTAACAAATTGCTTAACATAATAATTCCAAAGTGTTTCTCATATATTTTTCTAAGAATGAGTGAAAATAGGAGTGTAGCAGATACCCCCCCCATACCTGTTTTGCTATTAAATACACTGCCTCCGACCTGTATAGAAATAAAAGGCCAGTTAATTATAGTCATAAGAGTAATGTCAAATTCCTCTTTTGAGATTTTCTTTGTTGTTATACTCAAGAACTTATAATTTTTCAGTTTAGAGGTCCTGAAAAATCGTTTCAGACTCTGCTATGTAATGTCGAAATAGATGTTTTTTTTTTACTCTTGATGTAAAGGCAATTTTGTCGAAAATTAAACTTATAGTTGCTGACTGTAGGTCTATGAATAAGTAAGTTCGTATTATCTGCAAAGGTCTCATTGCAGAACGTTAGAATTAAATATATATTTAGCATCGTTATTCCTTTTAAAAGAGGTTTTGCCGTTATGCAAGTTTTGTGCTTGGTTGAGCGCAGCGTACACATGACGACGATTGAATACGATTTTTTTAAGAGAGAGGAAGGCTTCTGCTTTTGCCCATAATGAACCCCCGTAATAAAGCATGATTTTCCTTCTAATTGCATCACATTGTGGGGCTTTACTGGCATTAACATCAAGAGTAATTCTCACAAGCATGATGACGGATTCCTTGTATGCACCGCTGACAATTTTCATGATGATTGTATAGATTATCAAAGATCATGTTTGTGCCCTCGAAGAGTTTAGGAGAATTTAAGTTTTTCATCAGGACGATCGATAAACCCTTCTTGAGTTGCAGGCTGTAAGGCTGTCCAAAGTTGTTAAGGAACTCGCCTCGGAATCTTTTAAACTAAGAATAATTTTTGAGATTGTCACAGAATCATTTAATGCAGTTATGGTTAATAGTCCAAACGATTTTATTAACATGCACCTTTTGACCTACAGGATTTTCGAGTAACGTCGGCACATAGACGAGACCTGTGCATTGTTTTATAATAGAATCCCGTTTTAAAATGTTTTTAAGCTCTATAATTCTACGATTTGCGGTAACTTATTTCCACCGGTATGTAACATCTGACAAGGACTGAGAAGATTCGGCGCCAGTATTGCTTAGTCCCTTATCAATAATTAAGTTGTACATTTTGAAGTATGTACTTGGGTGCGATCTTTTATCCTCAAATCTTCAATACCCGCATTTCTACCTGGTCTAACTACCGGCATAGGTTGACTTAAACATGTTGCTAAGATACCTTCGGAAGTTGCATGATTTTGCGTATGTTTCGGAGAGGTCGGTAAACGGCTTCGGTTTTATTTAGACAGTAAATAAATACTGCCGTACTAAGTAGACCCAGTTTTAGAACTTTTTCTGTAATGCGAACTGTATCTTTTTTGACGCGAATGGGGATCCTTACTTGGAAGTGCGCAATTTGACTTTCGAGCATGAATATTATTGCGACTCTTGATGATGCAACATTCTTTCCTTAATTAGGCAGGATTCATTGACGAAAACATTGTATGTTCCTCCTAGAGTGTCATCGAAATCGATTTAGCTTCAGATTACCTTCGTTAACATAGTCGCAAACATCTTCTATAGAATTGGAAAGTGGTTCGTGGACGTTCGTACCATCCTACTTTAATCTCTACGGAGCATCCGTGTATTGAGGGGTTGAAAGATTGAAAAGAACAAGGAAGGCTCATGTTTTCTCTAACAGCTGGTCTTTACAATGATAGTCTTGAAACATTGCATCCTTGAAAAAATTTTGGGTATTTAACGAGTTCGTGCGTGGCAATTTTTCCCGTCATTAGCGGAAAATCGCGAATTCCTTTAGATATTCGACATTGGTCGGCATTCTTCACAGCTCTATGTCAACGGTCATCATCAAGAAGTAGTTCTTCAAGTAAGTAACTTTCTCTATCTGCTGCACGCGTTTAGTGAGCTAAACTATGTGGGACCGCGAACATCATTGATGTAATAACCTTAAATAATGCATATTCTCCCAACGTCACTTTGATGCGCAGAGATGCGATAATATTTTTTCGGTAGTAAGTGAGGAAATTATCTTTTTTTATTATATCTATTATTGGTTTAGTTGTAGAATTCGAGTCCATCGACGCGTTTGCAGTTTGTCGCTGATTTGTTTTACTAAACTAATTTATCGATTCAAACCCTAACGTAAGACATAGCTGGATACACATTAACCGTTATCGCATTGCAACTGCCAAGTTTCAGCTATCCTGTTCTTCATTTAGGGTCATCCCATTGTCTAATTAAAATACTCCCGCAATCTCCTTGCATTGCTACATAAATTTCGACTAAAAACTTTCCGTCGCCACCTTAGAGAGTGTATCTTCTATCGAGAAAAATAATTGAAAATCTCCATATAAATCCAAACAAGTTTTATTTTGCCTTCATAAGCTCGAGTACCTTCTTTACACTTGAGTTTGCCGTTGAGTCATTACCTAGCCCTAGTTACTTAACGACCGAACTCAGACCCTTGATTAGAAAAATTCGAATCATCGAAGTTTTTTTAAGAACCTACCTTTATACCTATTTTGTAGAACGTACAAAAACAAACGAGTCCCGGTGTAGACTCTCGAAAAAAATTTTCACAATTGATTAATAAACTAAATCTCTTTTAATTAATTACTAAAATTACTCTATACGAAATAAAGACACTTTCCTTAAAAAAGATATTCCATTATTAAAGCAGCCTAGCCAAAAATCAAACTTTACCAGCCGATAGAAAATAATAGAGACTTTCAGTGATTTACGGCAGCGCAACACGCAAACTTTGCCTAGACCCGGTTTGTCTGTTTGATTGTGTGTCGTCGACTAATAAAATTAGTAACCCTCGCTTAGTAAATTGTCATTTATGACCGATACAGGACAGCAAATACCTATCTAATTTTAATACTATGTAGGTAGCCAATTATACATATATATATATATATATATATGGATAGGTTTCTGGCTTTGGACAACATACATCTATGAACCTCGTTAAATGGAAACCTACAATCCAGACATAAAACAATTTATTTTAAATTTATCAGTATATTAATTAATGCGAATATACATTTTATCGTATGTACAAACATACAGTATTTGTGACCCTTTAACAGGTCCGATCTAGAAATGGCACTCACGCGGAGTAATATCAACGGAGAAAGCACGTATTTGTATATAAAATAATCCGAGTTGATTTTATGGTATGATTTTATTCCTTACTCCATAACTAACACCAAGGGGAACTTTGCTCGGATACTGCGTTTCTGGTACGACAAGCGAAATATTGAATTCAATGGAAATGGATTAATTTAGAAAGCTGTAGATATTTGCTAGGGTCCTAATATTGCCATATGTCCTACGGTAAAAATTGGGTTGTTTCTGCAACTTCTTCATTTGTATGTGCGGTATATAGAAATTGAGAACGAGAGGGATATGATTCCTCGCGCTTTTCGCACACCCAAGTGAATTAATCGGTCTATTAAAAATAACCTTTTTGGATACTTTATACGCAGAAAAGCCTGCATACATAGTATGATAATCAGGCGAATCGGAACATTCTGCTGGCTGCCTCTTTTTCAGTTTAACACTTTGATCAGCTCGAAGATTCCGGAATTGACCAGACGGTCGGGTGTTCCATCTCAAAATGCGTTGCTTTCTATGATGCTAAGACCTAGTTCACACTTATGTAATAAAGGCAAGTATTTCAAGCGCGTGCGTTTGATTGTAACAGCATATCCACCGTAATAGGTTCTGCAATAGGAATTGGTTAAACTACAGGGAAATTGTTGGGATCAAACTTCGCTTGGGTTCTTGGATTATGCACAACCTGGAATCGAGCTCTTTCGGCCCAGCAAGATTATAATTCGTATCATTTTGGCTATTGTTATTATTATCCTGAACGTCACTGAAGATGTTGCCTGAAGGCGCTGTCGCGATCTCGTTGTTATTGCCAAAGTCATGAACGACTTGGACGACCTGAATCGCGCCTGAAACGGGGATCGCGTTTGTGGGGCCTGTATTGTTTTTGCGGTCCTTACGTTTGCTATGCCCAAACTCGGGATTGGTCTTTGGCGTAGACGTTGGCTGAACGGAGTTGGCTGGGCGGCCTGATGTGTAGGAGACGTTGCTCATCGACGCCCGTCTATTTCACGACAGTAATAGAAAGTCAAATCGGAACTTAAGGTTAATAGGGGGTTAACATTTTGCCGCGAAAGAACTGAATCGTAGTAGCTGTAAAGCTGAGAAATACCCCTGTGGTAATCAATCAACTCAACTCGATGCGGTCGAAAGACGCGCACCGCCAGTGAAGGCTAGTTAAAATCCTAGGCTAACTAAGAAGGCGCAATTCTAATGAATGTAAACTGATGCAATACCATAAATATGTTGAGCACTTTGAACACGTTGTTGTACTTTCTTTGATAAAAATATGAAATGTAATAACTTATTAAGTGTAGAATATAATTTGCATAGCTTGTGCCGCATTTGATGATAATGGCAGCTGACTCACGTTGGATCCTTCCGCTTCTTCAAAGAGCTGTCAGGATCAACGAAAATTGGACAATAACACAAAGGTTGGTCCTTGCCAAACAGCTCTCCATCTTCAAGCGTTTGAGGTAGAGGTTGATGTGTAGTTTCTGGGATAAAGAACAGCAGCGTAGCAGCAAGAAACGCAAAGGCACCGACTAAAAGTATTAACGCGTTTTTGTTGATTTCGATAAGATAAGCCACGAGGGCTGCGATGATGTTACCCATATCACCGCACACCTGTGAAACACATTAGGCCAAACACATATGTATAGAGACAGAGAGGTATAATTAGGGCAAGGAGATGCATCTGTTTACATAGATTGTAGTTTTCATGTGGTTAGCACGACCCCGGACAAAAACTCCTGATCACTGCTAGCCATAAATTTGACCGTGTATGCTACCGCATTGACAGGGATAACTGGTAAAAAGAAAAATATAATATATATTTTAATACCTTAGATAGTAACACTCCACGACCACGAACAACCGTAGGAAATAGTTCAGCGGCGAGTTGATAAGTAATGTTATAACTGCCAGCCAGCGAAACTATGAGGAAAACTGCCAAGATCATTGTTACTGCTTCACCACCTGCAAAGTAAAGGAAAATATCAGTGAAAATATTCAATATAACCGAAATTAGTCTTACTTGAGCAACTACCAAAATTCATTTGTGATTCAACTCTGGCCACTATATTGAATTACTTTGTGTTCTGGATTGAAATAACTAGGGGAACATAATATGTTTTATGGAACCGACAGAGCTGTCAACAAAAAGGCTGAACATATTAATAATAAATAATAAATAAAAGCATTTCGTACCGGAGTCGCCAACAGCTGCGAAGGTGAAGGCCAGAATTCCGGCCGTTGCCATGAAGCACACGTTAGGCCATCTGCGGCCCACGCTATCTAGGCAGAAAATAGTAAAGATGTTGATCGGTAATTCGAAAGCCGCTGACATTGAGTATGTCGGGTAGATGGAAAGGCCCATATGCCCAAGTCCTAGCGTGTCAGCGTGGTAACAAAGGCAAATAAGGAACCTAGAACCGAGAAAGAAGCCAAGGACAGTTGCGCATGTTATATTGAAGCGCACATATAAATCAAACAATACGGACATTATCTTCGTCTTCATATGGAAGTTACTGTAAGCAGCACCAATATATTGTCTTCTTCGCAAGAACATCTACTACTTTTGTGGTCATGCTATTTTTCTGTATCAATTTGCTGTCCATTAAAACATGGGTATTACCAAGACGAAAAAAGCAGCATAGTCGTTCGCCGAAGGTTCGGAGTGGTCACAAGTGCGACTGTTTCAGCCCAGAATGATGAAATCGATGACGTTGATATCTCCGAGGCCGCTGACGACACTGAACCCAGCTCAGTGTTGCTCGTCGGGTCGATTGCGTGCTAAGCAAGTTAAGGTGCACCTCGAATAAGAATTCTCGTTAATAATAATACCCAGCTGCCCTCACTCGCCGTTTACGTCTATCGTGCGTATTCATAACGTGTTAAGTTGCACATTTATTAAATAACCTGAATTTACGAAACTCACCAACAATGTTTTGAACTCAGCTTCGGAGACATCTTTCTTCCCGTTGAAACGTGCCATTTTTACTAAATTATCTATGGCATCTTCTATGCGACCGGCTGATACAAGCCAACTAGCTGATTCCGGTATAAAACTGTCAATGTGAAAAGTAAATAGGAAAAAGGCTCACTCATAGGTAAACAAAAAGTGATTCTGCGTTTTGAGTACAAATATATATTTGTGTTTATGCATGTACATACAGATATTAGATTTGATCGATTGGGGTAACTGCTAAGATCGTTAGATCGTCCGATACAAAACAACTTGCTTCCACAGGATGCTGGCTAGGGGTATCGCCAAATCAAAGAACACTAATCACTATGTCTGTCAGCTAAACTCTATATCAAACGCTTTTACTTCACTCCATCAACAGAATACACAACGCCCGCACGCGAGAAAATTCGCCTCTTCAAGAGAACAAATGCGCGTTTTCGGTTCTCTTCTACTTTAGCTCTCGCTCGTTTAGAAAAACTGCTAATTACCACGATGCGCTCGTTCGCGAAGACATGTTAGATGTGAATATTTATTATGATATGTTGTAATACGTCACGTAACTCTATTGCACTTACGGACACATAAGGATGAGTGCGACGCTAATAACGCTCGTTGAAATTAAAAGGTACTGATAACCGAAGACGAGTTTAGCGTACCACGGATACAATCCGCCAAGAAAAGTCCATCCAGTGGCCCATACAGTTCCGACTAGCGTGCGGTGACTAGGCACGGTATACTCCATTACTGTCGGGTAAAAAAATCAAATCCACCTATGATAATAATCACGGAGTAGGGCACTTGGTGAAGCGGTCCTAGATTTAAGGATGTAAGGGTTGCCACATATAACACGGAAACATTCAGCGCAACAAAATACTTACCCAGAAGAAAAACAATAGAGCACACGGTGTCTGCACTGATGCCTGCCAAAAATCTAGCCGACATAATGGCAATGTCGGACCTAATCACCAGAGGAAAAACATTCGAAAATGCTGCAAGGCCAGATAGAAAGGCGATTGTAGGTCGTCTACCATATCGATCGGACAGGAAACCCGAAATAAGGTAACCGCACATAGAGCCGACACAAAACATCATATGAGTTGCGTACTGCTTCCATGAATCTCCACATACCCAGTTGTTCTGTAAAGTTTTTATCCACAACCGGTCAGTGACGCAAATTCATATTAGGTTTCTGTTGTACACATTTAACACATGCGCATAATGTCTAGATTCGTTTGGGGATTTATTCCCAACAATGCAGTCGGTACCTGTGTGGCAATAGTTGGGAAAAGGTCTTCCCAGATGTATTCCCACCCTTGTGGACAGGTTAAAACCGATCCGTCTGCAGACAGACCCACAGGAGAAGAATGATCGCCGTTTTTCAGGCCACATGCCAGCAGCGTCGATGCCGAGCCATTATCGTAGCTCAAACCCGAGGAATCAACATCGGCTCCTGATCCATTCGTGCGACAACCAAAATTGTCCGGTGGCAGCAGGATGAAAATCTACAACGATATGAATCCAAATCGTCTTCTAGTTTTCGTGTATAGTTAACTAGATACAATAACAACATAGTAATTGTCTAAAAATGGTATAATCCATTGCGGTAAATGTTGAAAAACATGATATCCATTGTCTCCTATTCACAGCAACGTTATTACGAAGGTAATAACGATCATAGCATGTACCTCATAAATGAATCAACCTATTCGGTAGTTCCTATAATGATACCTAAGCGTATTCGAAGCCGTATCTAATTAGGCAAATATATTCATCCTTTTGGCTTTCTTTTTAGACTAATTAACGAGTTGCGTTAGGTTCTTTTTACATCTGTGGACATTCTATCGATTAGGACTTCATAGGTTAACATAGTTTACATTCAATTATCGTTCCCGCCTGCCTGACAAGCGCCACCTGCATTGTCTGTGTATTTGATGTCGCACTAACAAACGTCGTAGATCTGCAGTGTCGGAACACAAATAATATCGAAACCGATTGACGCATTTGTAAGGCGTAAATGCGTTGCCCCATTGCTCCCGTGACGGTAGATCTTATCGTGGCTAGTGCAATTGGGCCATCATCGAGCCTTTTCACATGTGCGTTATGCAGCGACTCCTCTGCTTGTTTACACTTTCATCAATTCCTATTACCTACGCCTTATCTTTCAGAGCGGAAAATCACCGAACGTGATCACGTAACAGAGTGGCTTATTATCCGTAGAAGCGGCAATAAAACGCCGTACTTACAATATTCTTGGTTACGTTGGAAAGCTTTCAACAAAGGGAGGAAGAAGCGCTAGATGACTTGTTTTGTTGACGCCAAAGTTGCGCTATTGGTTCTGTTGTTTATGGCCAGAGTGATATTCTTTCAAAGCATCCTCTTAGAGGTCGAAAAGAAAACATCCCAGTCGGGTGTCCGACTCGGAAAATAGCATTACTTTTTGAGTCAAAGGCATAAAAAGCGATTCCCGTATGTATGCACTGTTCCATTTGTTCGTCGGAGCTAAATGGTCCGCTTTTTAGCTTTGTTCATCGTAAACAATCAAATATATGACTGCCCAGAACAGTCCTAGAACATCTAGACATTGCTGATGACAAGCTGGTTTTATATGGATTTCCTACTATCGAAAGTTGCACTTTTAATATCTAACATCCCACCTTGGTATTCTTGAGGATTTTCTGTTAAGTAAAAAACGTAGAACGAAAGCAGAAATCGACCTACCGATTTGTCGTGTGAGGTCACCGAGAGATGACAAATTTCTGCGAAGGCTGATATATTTTACCGGCAGTGAATTAACGTTTATCTAACTCATCAGTTGATCGAATGGCGTTTTTGCCAGCCGATCGCGGTATTTTCAGCAGTGCATATCGGTAGTCCATTTAAATTACTTTGTTTTTAAGTGGGCACTAAGAATCTGCCAAGAAAATCATAGGCAGTAGATTTCGTTGATCTCCTAAAACGTGTTACAGCGCTTTCAACTAAATCGATACGTTACATTGGACAATAGAATAAGCTGATTAATTTTATTTTACGAAAGTCACGATACTCTACCGACGGAGTCACTTTTGGACTCGGGTTTCTTAGTCGGATGGCCTGTTGTCACCGGATAAAAACGATAACTCCCGATTGAAATTTACCATTAGAAAACAACGCAAACGAAAAATATCTACTGTAGGCAAGCAATATTTCTGCAATATGCGAAACGTAAATTGTGTCAATGTTTATTCTCTTTAACGCTAGTATAGGTAATTTAGTTGCGGTAAAACGCGATTACTTAACCAGTGCGGAATATTAAAAACAAAGAAAAAAAAAACGAAATAAAAATAATGAAATAGGTCATTAATTTGGTACGGGCCAACTATTCAATTCGAATAAGAACTCATTCGAAAGTAAATTTAATAAAATAATAGTGTGCTATTACTACCAGTCATAAACACAGATTATTATTTGTGCACTTTGTTCCCGTAACCAGATACGATTTGACGCTTATTCAAAACTATGCCTAAAAATATTGAGTGCAGCCTGTTTTTTGCGTAGCGTTTGCATACAGGCTCAAAAAAAACAGGCTAAAAATGGACAACGGTCATACTCCGCAGAATTTCACATCTTTGCGAAAGTCATCGATCGTATTTTGTAGTATTTTTAACTGAATAGCCTTACTTTACAACGGTACCGAAGCTTTGGTGTAGCAAAGCTTTTACCGATCTGAATATAAAAGTCAGGCCTCCTTACTATAGAAAAGCGAAAATAGCATGATTCTTGACGTAGGAACGATAAAATCTAAACTCAGCGTAATAAATACGCAGAGATTACAAGAGGACTCTACCCCAGCCGTACAAAACCGTGACACGATCGACAACAGTAGCAAACTTTATCAACTGCTTTTCGTCAACCATTTCAGCTCCGTTTTCTACGGAGATGTAAATCTTTATGCTATCGGCAGTAAACTGGTTCTTTAATGCGGCTCGTCTGTAGTTAGTTTGAATTTCAAGTAAGTCTGACTAGTTTTTACTTACAGTGAAAAGACAATACACTTTTCACTATTATTGCATAAACTAATGTCTAAAAAAAAAAAACGCCTTCTCAGAAGTTCAGCTCGCTTGCTCCCAATGCTGTTTACGAATCGTCACATAAACGACGCATGTACTTTGTCTATAGAACAGGATGTTTGAAGATAACACTAACTGGGAAAATCTTAATGACGGCATAAACATCCATTTCCAGTACTACAAGTTAAATGACTCTTTGAGAATTTGGTTATATGCAGGTGTCGTTATCATAACCATTAGGAATCGGGTTTTCTAAATGTTACATCAGATGAAAACAGACAAAAAAAGAAGATTTTCTATTCAATAGTATAAAAAAAAAAAAAAAAATCAAAGAATGCATCGTCTTTGTTGCCTGACCGATGCCGCAACACAAATCGATATTACAGATATTCCACTTACTCGGACACAGTGCTTCCGCTTTGTTTAAATTTTCCGCGAAAATTTCTGTTCCATTCTTATTGATATTACTGCATTCGACCAACAGGTACGTCGTTGCATTCCTACCTATTCTATAGTAAAAAATTACCTAACCGTCCGCCGTAGGCCATTTTGCGGGCATCTAGAACAGGTTAATGTGGTTGTTATGTGTTGACGTTTTTCTTTTGTGCGACAAGTCAAAGTAAATGTCAAATCTCGACTGCTGAAGGGCTGCATAAAGTAGACATCCTATGTAGCCTGGTGAAGGGAAGCTAGATTTAGATTCAGAAAGCATTTTGCCTGCAGTCAGACAAATCTTGCATTGCCTATTCAAGCATTAATCGTGAGATAGCGCACTGGTCAGGTGTATGGAAAAAAATAAAAAAAAATAACCTATGAAATTATTAGTTGGTAACGGGAGGTCCTTTTCAAACTGTAGTCTATTCTGTGAATCAAAAAACTGTTTTTGCAGGCAGATTATCGTGATCTGTTTCAGTCGAATCGTCTCTAGCGCGGTTAGCTAGAGCTGTTAGAGGAAGATACTTAGAGCTGGTTTTATGCATTATTTCGTTCAGGTAGACAGATGGAAAGTTTGTTCCAAGCTCGACAGTAGCTGGCTACTTAATTGCCAATTACATTCAGTAGTAACAGATCCTGTGCTAGCTTGCTTTCGAGCGTAAACCTCATTTTCTACATTTAGGGAAACGTGTTCTCGTATTAGATCACAAACGTAATCGCGTTCAGCGAACAATTGTTAACGCTATTAGACTATCTCCATGTCAAAAACAAATCGTCGCCCTAAAGAAGGTTATGGGCAGAATTTGAAAACAGAGATTTCATAGACGCATGTTATTCTGCGCAGGAATGTAGAACAATGCCTTTTTACTAGTCAATAGACATCATACGTTTAGATTTGGACCAACTTGTCAAAAATACAGTTGTATATTTAATTCCACCAACTGCATGACGGATAAGGGGGCAAAATTTTAGGACGATCGACACAAACCGTTAGTAATATAAATAATAATAATAATAATATAATTAAATTGTACACCATCATGTTGTTAATTGAGTATCACTAGGGAGATCTTCCTGCTGCAAGGAATAGCCTAAATTGCAGCTTCATGAAGACTTGTAATACGCAATGTTTGCTTACCTAGTTGCCCTCATTCAATCCCTGAGCCCATAGCCAGTTTATAACACGGCTAACTTTTGCTGTGGTCGAGCCACAAAGCTTTCGATTTTGATTTTCTAATCCGCTAGTAATCGCAGGCTTTTTCTTTAGTTTTTAGCTTTCATTTTGATATATGCGATTCGAGGATCGAAGTTGTTCCAAATAGCTACAGATTATACGTTATGTATATAGGCAAATCAGTACTTTTGTTGTGTCTGTTGGCGAACAGAAGCTTAGACAGAATCATTCGTTTAGCGAAAGACTCCGGCCAAGTTGCTGACTGATTGTTGTTAGAATGTTTGCAATTCAATTTCTTAGAATTAATCTCTACTATACGGTAATTTTCCTAAACCCTTTAGTAATAGCCAAGTTGAATTACCAATTTCTTCATAGAAATACAAACCCATATCCGTGGTGTCCTGTACGCTAGATGCACTGATATATACACATATGTGGTATGCTATGATTTTTTTCGCCACTCACTTGCGACAGGTGATTGCTGCAGTAGTGTAGAGTGCCCGTTGACAGGAATAATGCTACGAGCAAAATCTGAAATCGGCCGAAGCCTCCGGCAGCTTGAAGTGCCTCGTCAAAGGGACTCGACGAATCTTCATCTGATGCAGAATGCATGCTACAGCCAATCGACACGAATTTCTTCCAGCCGCTGAAGCTGTTTCAGAAGCTACTATATTCGATTGAATCTAACAGCAAGCAAGCGCTGTACGTTGAGAAGGGATCCGAAAAGAGAACACGTCTCACTGGTCGTTTAAGTGACCAGCTGTTTACTGGATTTGTTGCAAAAATTACCACCTATATTACTCCTCGTATAGTAATAATAAGAGAGGTTTAGATTTGAAAATATAGAATTAAAATTCGTATTATTACTTCTAAGAAAGATCTTGTGATTAGAATCACAGTACTCAAACGAGTAAAAGAGCTCACTGACGCACTTCAGCATGCGGAATCAATCCTGAAACCTGTAACAGAATATTTCAGAGACGGGAACACCATTAGTTTACGAGGAAACTAACAAATCTACCCGAATCTCTTATCGAAATATTTATGCGTACTCTATGTGTAAGCGGGAGTACCTTTGTTCTCTAAAAATGTATGCAGTTCGTAAAGCTCTTGCGAAATAACATATGCACAAGCCGTACGTAGGGTTATTTTTTCTGGGACCACAAAAATTTAACAGTCATTTAAAGAGCGCGGTAGCAGTGAAGTTAAAGTGCACGGCCGGAACTAATACTCTTTAACTTCACTGCTACCGCCTTCTACTTTGGCGGTAACCAAACATAACATCGTATGCCTCATGTACACAGGAATAGGCACACCTGCCATAAGAAAATAGTAGTCGGTCATCGAAAATATTACGACAAGTATTAATGTTATTGTTGTATATAAGCATAAATTCATCTAGTAGCCACGGAAGCGTAGAGAACAGCAGGCAAAGTATGCCGGAAGATCCACTGGGAAAATTATCCATTTCAAAGTAGACACGCGGAATGCAGAAGCGCGCAAAATTTTTTAATTTTTAGGTAATCACTAGACAAACTACACAATTTTCTTCTTTTTCTAGATAATACGCCCTATGCTGTACGGGGTGACAGGAAATCCGAACCGACTGTATATTGGTGTGGGGAGCAAGACGCTCCTAGTTATCGGGAGTAGACCAGCCAGTGGGGTTGATGTCCAGCCTCCGTTTGAAGGAAGCTCTACCAGCGGAAATTAACATCAAACCAGATGTGGCAGAGGGCTGCTGAAGGTCGCCATCAAGTCTTGCCCCTTGCCGATGCAAGAATGCCAATCTTATGAACCAAAAAATACACCAACTTTGTGTATCATCGTCTTCATCATTCGTAATAGCAATTGCAGCAGCAGTAGTAATATCGTGATTATGCCTGTGATGATTTGTTGGAAAGGGACTAGGAGAAAAAATGAGCCTGGAAGAGGCTTTATCTCGAGAGGCTCTGCTATTAACGCAAGCATACGCCCGGCTGTTCAATCATCGAGAGGATACAATAGCTGTAGGTACGCCGCCACGCGCGTATATTCACCACAATCAAACAAGAAGTTTATCTAACCAAAATTGGCTGCAGCTATCGTCGTACCAACGCTTACGAAAAAGACTAGCTTCGTACTATCTAGTTGTATAGAACAGACTCAATAGAGTAACGGTGGCTAACCACTTGCTCAATAGTGCCACTGCGACGTCAATATTTCACTCATCAGTCGGTAAATCCAAAACGGGCCCGCGGCAGCGACTGACCGATGCAAACGTCGAACACACACCGAAATCAACGGCCGGCTGCAAACATGTGCCCCTACTTATCAGAGGACACTCAATAAAAAAACATGTACGTAAGTGTTTAAGACTTTACTCTCATAATCGTCATTGATTAAAACGATGTGCTATTTGAACGAATCTATGATTACTAAACTCGATAACTAGGTTTTGAAGTCCATGTAAACTTTCCAAGTCGTGCCTGAGATAAACGTACACATCGGTACCGTCATCTTATTCAAAGCAATAGTGCCGGTAGGCTGCTTGGAGTACGGTAAAACTGACCTCTAGCCAGTTGGCTAATCGGACGTAGCAACGTGAGTTATACGTTGAAGTGTCAATCCCTAAATAAGTCGTCTGCCCCCTATATTTTTACCCATAGTCAACAAATCTTTTAATTCGGAACCTTAAGTTATTATGCTAGAGAAACACTTCCCTTCTAATACGATTTTCAATAAGTGCGTGCTGGTTGCAGACTCGAAATCGTAGCAGAGCAAATCTCTTTGTTTATTCGTATGTACCATAAGCATTGCACTCTTGTTAATAGTCGTAGATGAATGGTAAATAACACTAGAAACAAACACTAAGTGACCTTTTCGCATCAGCAGCTACAATGGAGAACTGTACTTGAATATAGCCTATAGTGATTGATGCACCCAATCGATTTCGACTGCAAAAGCTGAAGAATAAGTCTTACGTGCGGAAAAGAGACAGCTCTGGTGGTTAACCTAAAAAAAAAAAATAAACTCTAAAAACAACTTAGCTTCTTACAGGCTACAATGGTAAATACCATGCATAATAGCTTCGTGCAAATAATCGTTCGTATTTTGCGCGCCATTCGCCTTTCAACATCGTTCGACATGATTTGATGACACGATAGTGTAACAATTAGTGCGAACGGTACGAAATGCTACAATTTGTCTAGAAATCACCAAATCTGAATACAAACTTCTACAGTTAGCTCGGCGTGGATCATCCGCATTTACAATGCTAGGGTATAGTTTCGGTGCTACTTTACAGAAATAGGTGATGTATATAAAGGCACGATACAGCCTTTCCCTAGTAGTAGATAGACAAGTCAGATGCGCCTTTAAGCGGGCACTTTAACGCTAACGCTAGAAATGGTCAGCAAATCAAACAAATAAACCAGCAGCTTGCGCGTAGATGTTTTGTTCATTGCATGGTAAACCCAGACGTACACTTGACGTACGCTTATTCTTAGACGAACAAAAACCGTTCGCGTTACGATGAGCTTTATATGTTGTGGTTAACAGCGAAGCTCGATTTTTTTTCCATGTTTCCGAGCTATATATATATATATATATATATATAGTTTGGAAATGCTTTGTCGAATGTATGTGATTCTTTAGACGGAATTTTGTGTTGCCGAAATAATTCTATAACAGGAACTACATATATAAGGGTTTGTAATAATTCTATACGCAAGGATAGCGACAGCCAGTCGGTCCCGCTACTCCAAATAGGAACACTATCTGACCTTACATAAATCACAATCGAAGTTAGCATGCTCAATGATCGTCATCACTGCCATAGTCCAATTAGATAGAGTATGGACTACCAAAGTACTTATCAAGTTTTTTTACACTGACAAGTTGTAACTTAGATCTCTTTTCGTCGTATATATTCTCTTCCACCGAGTCCGATTCACTACGTATACATTTGCTTCTCGCCCAGTGGTCGCGTCGTCATCCTTTCGAGACGTCGCTATATGGCGGTCGAGTAACTACCATCTTTCTATGTTTCGAACTGTACTTCCGACATCGCCGTTTGGTATTTTGTCAGACGGCTGATTTCCAACACGAACAAAATTGTGCTTATGCCCGGATTCTACCCTAGATTACAACGTGTCCCTACCGAGAAATTTCGTTAACGACAAATCTATCGCAGGAATGATAACTAGCAAGGGAAATCTAAAGTAGCCTTCCTCATCCTCATGTTAGCAACACATCACTAGCAAGTATACAATGCACTGTCAATAACAGAGAACAGTAACTATTGCTCTACACGAGATAAACATGTACTGCTCTAGAGTTAGGGATTCCATGTTAAAAAGTGCTTTGTCTTGAAATTCATAGAATTTCATTTACCTTTTTAATAATGATTACTCAATCTCCTGGATTTTCTGACCAGCCCGCTATAACAAGCGTGAAAGCTGCGTATTAGCTGTAAAACTTACAAAGACTCATAAAAAGCGAGCCGAATTCGCCGTCATTCCCTAGACGCCACACCATGTATGATCAATAGTTGGATAGCGTCATTAAAAATGTCGAATAGTGACTTTTCAGTAGTTTTCTGTGTAACCAGTGTAGAAATGCGCTGCCCGCTGCCATAACAGGGGAAAAGAAAGATGTATTTAATAATGCTTTTTTTCATGTTGCACTGTCACTCATATTTTGATCAAACAGAGATCAGAAGAACAAACTGGAAATCTTTAAGGCAAAAAAATATACATGTATAATAAGCATGCGTAATTATTGTTTATTTGTATGCCTACACGTACCCCAATTATTGTTACTTCTGTTAGAATCGTTACTTGACAATATGATTGCCAGATAAGATTCTTGGTCTGAACGAAGCAGAGTCTGCATGAAGTGTGTTATTAATGCATTACCGTATGTACGGTTCATCATCGTATTTAGCTCCCTTTGGACACCCATTACTATCTTTCCGATAATAAGCGATGGCGGAGCGCGACTCGCATCATACTTGCCAAAATTTGGAAATATGAGTTTAATCCAAGTCACTCGTGTTTGCAATAGATTACGATTTATAGAAGTTTTCGCAAAAAATCTTTTACGTAATATTAGCTGTGACGGATTTATATATTTTTAGGATAAACTGTTCATATGTCGTTCATAGTGCTTTTTTAGCGTGAAAAAATAACAGCTGATTCAACGACGTAAACTTAGTCGAACTAACAGAGTACACTGTCAAAGGAGCACGGTTTCTCGTTTATAGTAGTATTAACGAACGTAGCTGATAAAGCTAAAATGCAATAACATAAGCCATGTTATGCCACGTACAGAAAGCTTATTCTCAAATAAATTAATTTTTTTGTCTTGATATAATGAACGTACATTGTCCCATACGTTGCTGAATCCGAGACAAGAGTTATTACAGAACGTGATAACTGGGGTCGGTTGTGGTTAGAAAAGCTGCGTGGGTATTTACGATGATGATGCTTTATCGGCCAGTAAGGGATCGTAAATGCATCCTCTCACAGATACGTGAGAGGACAATTTTGTTGGCAGTAGCTACCTCATTTAGATCCAACATGAAGAAACACATACACGATTGCTCTCAACAAACAAAAACAGAACTTAGGCAAGCTCAGTTAATTCCTCCGAATGGAGGGCTTCTATCAATTTTGATGTGAAATCGTTTGTTTACGGTTTATAAGTTTCAAAAGTAATTTCCTGCTTAAAAATTTGTAGAGCATCCCCTTGCTCGCTGCCATCAGCACTACCCTGAAGAAAAACGGGTTGACTATGGAAAAAGGACGATCTATGTGCACCCAATATGGAAGTGCGCTACGAACTGGGTATCTATTACAGATGCGAAGATGCTCGAGTGATCATATTTGGTTAGGTTTCATCAAACTTCTTCCGGCAGCTGTCTCCGGCAGAGCTGGGCTGGAAGTGACCTAATAAAGAGGATCATGATAATAGTAATAATAGTGAAAAAAACGGGCCATGTTGGTAGTCAAGCGGCTTCTCTACTGCATAAAGGTGCTCGTACCGCGTCCCAAAAATATGGTAGTTTGGGCTTCGGAAGTCTAACTACATCTCTCAAATTTGAGACTAATTGTAATTTCAGCAGTCTCACCAAGGGATACCTGTATTCTGATAAAACCACGTTTGCATCTAGCACGGCTATTGTGCGTGACTAGGGTGAAACGTTTATTGACTTCATTTCAGAAACGGTATACACAGACAGGCACATGCACATACTTCGCTTTTGTCCACACGTGCCATCACAAATTATTATATAACATTATAGATATGTCGTTAATCCCTTCCATGCTGCCAGTTCACACTCAAAGTCACCTTATAACTACTACTTAAGTCCAAAGCTCTGTTACAAACAAAAAAGCAAAGCGCTCATGTGCATTATTATCCACCATCGTCACGCGCAATTTATTCTACAACATACCCGTTAAGATTAGACGAGCGTGCGTTTGGGAATCGCTTCAGCGGTAGATCAATGGCACCGTGCACGTCCAACGGGAGGCTCCCGGCAGAGTGCGTTTGCTCAGTTCTTGGGCCTTTTATAACGCTGGCCAAGCGCCCCATTACCTCGAAGAAGAGGGCAGAGGGTCCAGCAACTCTGCAGGCGCCGTTACTGTTGCTGTCAGTACTACATATTTGCCCTCTCTTGGCTATCTCTTTTATAGTGCGGTTGTCGGCGGCGTGGAGTGAAGGGTAGCATCTGCTACGACGAGAAGAATACGATGTACTTACTTACCCATACAGGCTGACGGAGCATGGGAACGAACGATATATTAGCGAGGATGCAAAATACTCGGAGGAAGGAAATAAAGAAATATTCATACTGCAGCCAAGTCCAGCTGCCAGTCCATCGCCAATGCCCCGTGGTTAATGCTGTAACAAATACGACTGGCCATTCACTCAGGACTTCTAAGTGCTACAACCGTAGCTCATGCAGATCGTGCAGGCCAACAAAAAGCTGTTGTAACTGAGCGACAGAAAAGAAGGCGCCAAGATGTTTCGTTAGACTGATTCAATCATCGTCTAGAGGATGCGAACTAGCAGTATCCATGAAGCTGTGTATTAAATGATGCTACATTGTGTGCTAGAGTACGCTAATCTGCAATTAGACGAAGTGGTAGAATAATTTCGAGACCTTGGTTAGACTCAGCCTTAGCGACGGAACGGCACACTGGAGAACGGACGAAAATGAATAGAAAGGCCCCAGTGTACAATATGTATATATTTATTGTTCACATTTATTTGGGGAAAGGGCAGAGACTATTACTGCGAAGAAAACTAAAAAATAATTAGACACCCTCTAAGTGTTACTCTTTATTTTTTTTTTTGATATCATAGCAGAAACCTTTGATGCGGGGTCAACAGGAAGATGATCTGAAACCCAGTGCGATCGATAGATTACTCTATTGTAAAAAATAAATGTTCCCGTATTTTTCCTTGAAGGTCATATTTTTACTCGGGGGGGGGGAGGTTTACTTGATGCTTGCTAGTAATCGTTTTACAATGCGTCTACAGAACGAATCACCTCGTATCTCCACTAAATAGCTGCACCTATACATCACTAAAGAGCAAGAATAACAAGGAACATAGGGATGAAGACCTGCATTATACATTTTGAGTTTTTTATTCGAATAAAAATATTTCACATGCTAAAAAAAGCATGCTGTAAGCTTTTTTGAGGTCAATAAAATAGCAGGAAAACTCTGGGTTCTAAACTCTTCAAAATATTTAATAGTTTGATGGATTTCAACGTCTAAAAATGTATAATTCAATTCCACATAAATCATTGTGAAGTGGGTATTGACCTCTAAATAATTCGTCAAAAATTAACTAAAAAAATAAAAAAAAATAACCCAAAAAATGATATACCAATGTAGTTAGGTACTCATTACTCCTGTTTTCAGTACCTCAAATAAACCTCATTGCTCTGACTGAAAAAATCCAAAATTTATCATAATCGTAATCTTAGCAAAAATCAAAGCTTTGATATTTAAAATAAAGGCAAGATTTTCCTATTAATGCAATGTTTCTACTCTGTTATCTATGATTAACGTTCTATCATATTTTTTCGTAAGTGTGTCAATTGAAAGTGTTTCATTATAGCTGAAGTCGATAGCTCCTTCGTGACAAATTAAAAAACAGCCACAATGTGTATTGTCTTTATCCAGAATAAATTATTTGAATCAACATTTGATCGTTCCCAGTTCGGCGATTGTTCAAGAACCAGTTTATAATGGGTTTTTGAGGATATCGTAAACATTTTGAAAAACAAGATACCTGATGCACAATTCAAGGCTTCGTTTCTTTTTAAAGATCTCGTAAGCGAATGGCAAACTTTGTACAATTCATTATTACCTAGTTTACATGCAAACTATTGCCGAGAAGTGAATTTTGCGCATATGATAAGTAGAGTTTTGAGCATTATTGTGCACCGCTTCTAACCTTTGTGCCGTTTAACATTGCTTTCTGTAAATTATGTATTAGTTATTATAAAGCACGTGAGGTATTTAAAACAAGGAAAAAATAGCTATTCGTTAATCAGAAACAAGGCTCATGAGAGGTCCGCTGGATGTTCTCTCAGCAAAACTCGCACTTGTTGCGATAATAGAGCGAACTCATACATTTGTACAAACACCGTTCCGAAGTCACATGTGGTTAATAAAGTATTTGGAAGTAGGTGCTCGTATGGAATAGGAAAACGTTGTCAAAATAAAGAGAAACGACACAAGATTACAACTATTTCTTTTACTGTCTGGGCAAATGACTAGTTCCCAGTTTTTCGTATAGTACTACTGCATTGGCCAGTTGCGTAATAGCTTAGTGGGTAACGTGTTTGCCTGTAACACATAGGGTCGAGTTTCGAATCCGCACTGGACCTCATACTGGCTGTGGAAACATTTGCTACCGTTAGTGGGCTTCGGAAATTAGCGAGAAAAAGGGTGTAAGTATGTACAGTTGTCTGCAGATAAAATGGACCAACTTTATGCGTACTTGGAAAAATTCTGTACAACATATCCATATTGAAACACTGTGATCTGCATCCATATATACATGAATCAAGTACGCAAAATGCGCTGTCGATTCTATGCTACATACGCGTCTCATGAATTAGGAAATTCATCATGGCATTGCCCCTTCGAATCCAGGCCCCACATCTGGCTCTATTTACATTTTCGGTTTTGTAGCACAGCGTCACGCCCATTTTGCCTTCAGTATAGAACGACCCATGCATTGACAGCATTCGCCGAGCACCAGTAGAACGGATTATAGCAGTGTGGATGCGCTTCACATATACGAAAAGATCTGTTTTTTCTAGCGAAATTGAATTCTATGATGTGGCGTGTCGCATCATATATATCTATATATACAACCGGACTTTAGTCGTTCAGAAAGCTGCTTCATCCGCACAATACATACGAACGAAAAAAATCAGTATCAGTAAGTATTATAGAATTAATAAAACGTTTAACAAGTAGTCATCACCGACGATGTAGTTGAACTAACGGTAAGATACGGTAGTATTCTAAAATGCAGTTTATTCAACATATCTCTTTCAATAACTCTTTCTTTTCTCGATAGCTTTTACTCTATCTACTTATTCAGGATTACTCGACATGGAAAATGTATTTTTCAAAAAGCTCTTTTTTTCTCCCTCTATGAAGGAATACAATTTCTCAGTTAAGTGATTGGCCTAAGAACAGAAATGATTCGAACTTTACAATACACGCTTTATTTAATAAGCTCAACTTTATTATGGCTTCCGAGTCTCTATATATCAGATTCGCTAGATAGAATCGTTAATTCTTTGCATACGAAGTACGAGAGATATATATACTGGACTATCATGAGCACACTGTAGAATAGTTGCTTAAGTGCTCTATGTACCTGCCTAAATTTGCCGAAGTGCTTGTCATCCAGGAAGATTAGCAAATAAAATGTGCCTCTTATGTGAAACATTAGTGTAACAGCAGACATTTTGTTCACTGCTTTCGAGATAGGTTTGTTTTACCCTTTATATTTCAGCGTAAAATTATCCTTTTTTTTAATTAAACTATTAAAAATTATAACTTTTCTACTCTAGAGTTTATCCAACTAAATCTCCGAAGTGTTACTATTGAATGAATGATACTCTCACTATGAAGCAGTCAACACGTTAATTACTGAATTGCAATGTTCTTCGTCCTTTTGTGCACGTATACACAGTCCAATCTCTCCCTCTTGTTGGACCAGCATCCGCTTTCGGCATTGTATGTATATGTCATGGACACTAGTTGGTGTGGGTAGTTCTTTTACATCTGGAACGATCAGTTCTCCCAATGAACAAAACCTTAATTAAAAACATGCTTCGGCGCTCCTGGTTCTGCCACTGACAGGAGGCCACAAGGCTTACTTTCGTTTAATAGTCCTCAGGATAGTGATAATCGAACCAATATAAGAAGGTTTTATTATTCATTAATTAACAGAATCTCTGCATAGAACCTGCGAGATATTACGAAATCGAAAAGTGTTACAAGCTGTCCAGTCAAATTTCGAAACTGAGCCTTCCCGAAATATTTGCGATAATAAGCCGACCAAGTATAAAGTGCACGATTTAGGAGGCCTAAAATAAACGTAAACAATCGTCCATGCCCTATTTACTTACACCGTTTTCTCAAGGTGTGCGCTTTCCTAAGCAAAACAATAATGACACTGAACTTGCACTGCAAGCCTCAAGTGCATGACACATGTGCAGACGATGGCCATCTGAATCCTACCAAAGCTATAAACAAAGCTGAACATGCTAAATGATGCGCTATTTGCAGATTCTCTAAATAAACGATTTACAAGATAATTTATCCACGCTCGTGTATGATGGTGGCATAGTGTATTTGAATTCATGTGCAGAATATGGGCTGTAATACAAATGTGACCGCCAGTTGTCACCTATCAGCAAATCCAGCGTCCAGTCATTAATTTTCTTTTTAGCTCGGCAAACATTATCAGGCATCCGCTTCTTCTAGATGACAACAAGTACCTTGTAATGTATGGAGTGTTTATGTGTACATAGCATTTACGACTATATAACGATAATACAGTTGGATAGCATCTTAATGAGACTAATTTTAATCAGAGGCTTAACGTTCATCTTATATGTTCGATTTTTGACTGATCTGAGTGGAATATGTGTGTAATAAATATGAAAAAAATGTCCAAGTCCAATGTACTCAAATACCTTTGGACCGTACTATATATATATATATATATCCAAAATGTATCCGGTATATATATTTCTTTGCAATATTGTCATCAGCTTTGAAGCTGAACAAATTCTCAGTTTGTCGTAAAGTTTTCTTCTTTTCGTCGGCATGTATACATTTAGTCCAAATAAGATTATTATTGCTAATATCTGCTTATTATCATAAGACTCTGTATTTTTACATATTTTGCTTAAAATAATAAATTTTTCGAATAATTATTACTCGATCGTGCATAAAATTAGGAACGTATCATTACGTTCCTGAAACTAGAATCTGTTCAGTTCAATGCCTCGTTCCCAATGTGTGTCATATTCGAGTAATCACCGATATGTTCATTATCATAGTTTTCAACTGCTAACGAATTGTTTCTTAGAGGAAATTGTTCGTCAACACTTCGTTCGCTAAACTTAAATGAGTTTTCGGATGAAGTTGACGGCATGTATTTGCATTTTGCCATTGTAGTTAGACTGGTTAGCAAGAAATTCCAATGCCTTTTGACAATGATAGCATCTGAAGACCTTCTCGCGTTTGCACTTCAAGAGCAGCAAGTAAATTAACTTTGGATGTTGTCATCCTGTCTACCAGATAGAGCGCCGTAGGGAGAAGTAGTTAAAATAACGAAACATCGTTAGAGGAAGTTGAAAAAATCGTTTACTTAGCACATACATAACTGAAACTATGCACTATCGACTATCATCGATCACCTAGTATCAATACCCTAGCAAAAAAAAAACTACCTCGTATCATGTTGTGCTCATGCCGAAAAGTGCTCTTGTTTCTTCTGATCCTTATGGTACCCTAGAGGAGCAGCAGAATTACTCTACCTAGGAAGCTTCCACAATACACATAAAATCTGCGAGGATATTTATTCTCTATCTGGTGATCGTTTTAGACTGTATAGAAAAGCAACAGACTACCTACTAATAAATTTAAGAAGCGTTGTTTTATTTCGTATTATCTGGAATTTTCTTTTTCAGATGCCTAGCGTGAGTCAGCCAGATCGAGATGCGCAGTTGTCGATGTACACTGGCTCGCATGTAAAATAGATTACACATTCAACTCAAACGGTCAAATCTATAGAAATTCTCGCGTTATAAAGATATAAGACTTATTATAAGAAGCGATGGCTGTTCTTAAAGCTCACAACGAACACCATAAGCACAAGGATCCAGGATAGCGGCGCTTTTATAACCTCCCTTCGACGTATCATGCAGAATGAGGCGTGCATTGTTTTTGATTGTGAAAGATAGCATTTCGGAACGATAGCCCTGCTTTGTTGCGCTCTGATTCTGTGCTAAAAGCTGTTGTCCTGCAAACAGAACAGCAGCTTTTAGTACAGAATACCAATATAGTACCTTAATATTGAGGCTTAATTTTTTAACTGACCACCGTGGAGTTTCTGTGGACTTCTGTCTTGTTCCACCCATAACCAGAGAGATATTTACGGGGAACACCATTCTGCGCGATAAACGCTACACTATACAAGTTTTCTCATGCCAGATAGGGATAGCTGTATAGGTGCGAGACATAAAACAGATTTACCGTCTAGTTTTTTAGCTTGTGTAAAGTTTGTTCGAAAAAGTATCATTTGAATGGCTGGGCATAACAACATCAATTATGGCAACTAGGACTGTACTAACGATACCACATTTGAATCGCTTAGAGTCGTTACCAATAAAACAAATATGCAACTAGACTGATCCTAAAGACGAGCGCATTAAAACTGCTTGACCAGCAATCGACATGATCACGAAACTAAGTATCCCAAGCGTTTCTAGTATGAAGAAAAGAAAATATGGCTATTTAGTAGATCTTGTCATCATAGCTTACACCGAAATCACTTCTGACGTTTATCCCACAAACGGATTTATTTAAGTTCACTGTAGTGAAAATATAAAATTCAAAATAAGGCGATTGTATATCTATAAAAGCATATAGTATCGAGGCGTGGACTTCTGCATAGATTTATTAAGTACAAAGTATTACGATCAAAAACAAATTAGAGGAGTTTCCCAAGTTTTCATATAAGAGCTTATCTTTCTCCGTCAGCGTTGCAATTGATTTATTCTATTAAATACTCCGGAAAGCCGAAATTTACTGGCTTTTACAACCGCTACTTTTTGTGCCGCCACTTTGAAAACGCGTCTCTATTGGGCTAATTGCCACAAACTTTATGATACTACACAATGTTTTTGAGACTCTCGTTCAAATTAAGCTGTAATATTTAATAGTGTTGCATACAAAAGTAACTCAGTCTATTCGAAGGTCACCTCGAATCTATAACTGTGACTATGGTTTTCGTTCAGATTTTCTCGTAACTTGATTGAAAATCTCAGTCATATTCCGCATAGCTGCCGCTGCTGAGGTTGAGCGCATTTCTATTGCACGACCTTCACAGACGTAGATCCGTCTTTTATAGTAACTTTTTCATCGTCGAAACAAAGTGTCATTTTTAACTAGAAGTAAACTCTCCTTTGCGCTACCGCAGGTATCGACGGAGAGAGGAGAGACACAAGCAGGCGTACCCAAAAGATGAACATGATCGACGCTGCAATGACCCTGGATCTCGTACCAAAACTGATACATGCCGATGCTCACAGCCGTTAAACAGCTGCTGTAATCTAATCAAGGACGAACATGACTCGATTAGCTACACGATGTGACTACTCGAATACTAAAAAAAATAGGTATAATGTTTTTTTTTTCGTTTTTGAATTTCTTCCAATTCGTATTTTGATTGCACGGTCTTCGGTTCTCAAGTTTTTAGCCCACTTTCTTAACTTTTTTATGATTTCTTTGCTAATTTCAGTAATTTACGATTCTGGCGATAAAGCGTACCAGTAAGTTAGTTTTCGCTGTATCCTGCACCGGCTTATTACCGGTGAAGTATATTACGGTCCGGTATTACATCGAAAAAATACTGTTATCTCCTCTACAACCCAATACGGACAGTGCTTTAAGATTGCTTAATATGAGTTTGGGCAATACTTAAATCGAAGAAGAAGAAACTTCGCAGAATTTTCTCGAATCTTGCAGCTGCAGTAATGTTAATCCAACCCTCGAACATCGCTTCTAAAAGATTTCCGGGTAGAGCTCTATACTGTGCTCATCGACAATCTAATTACGACCACCAAAAAGGAAGAGGTCAATGATCACTATAAGCATTTATGGGGAACAGACCCCTATTTTATATACCCTCTGCAAGCAGCACATTATCCAGCGTTTAAATCGGCATTGCATTCAATAGATTTTTCTAGCTCAATCTCGAATACGCACCCATTATAGTGGATTAAGCCGAACGTACTAACACCAGTAAACCCAATCAACTAGTAGAATATGTGCAGGCATTTGGCGGATTTTGAAAATCCGTAAATGTATATAACATTGCGATATTTAAAGTCATTGAATATGTCCACACAAAGAATGTGTCACATTAGGCAATAAATAGTGATGCTATCTGTCGACATGTTTTAGATAAACTGAATATACTTGTTAAAAAAAATAACTAGATAGGCTTCAAAATCTCAAAGTTCCCGTGGCAAAACGAAGGTTCCTTATTTGAACTGAAGAAATCTAAGGCTTTTTAAGGTATCAATAAAATATTTTCTCACTAATCTAAAGTTTCTTTTAATCACTCAAACTTTTAGCAGAGTTGCAGTAAGCCACAGAAAACTGTAAAGTTTTCAAGCTTTACGAGTATGAGTTTCATTTTGGAAGTAAATCGGTCGAAACAGCGCACTGACGCAGAGACTACTAGAAGCAGCGCAAGCTGTTAGCTTCAAATATCCCCTGATGAGAATCTTGAATTCAAAAATGAGTCCCATGGAAGAACTCGCGAGGTGTGTGAAGGTGAACAATGAAGTGTTGAGAACCATTTGGAAGGCAGCCTATGTCAAAATTCACTAAATGATATCTAGGTATGGTGCATGTGGCAAAGATGTAGAAGTTACAGTTGAAGGATCTGTCATCCATTACACTCCTTAGATATTGCTCCCTCAGATTAGCATTTTTTTTTCAAAATCCCTGAAGCTTCTTAATAGAAAATTCCTTAAGTCAACTTGAAGTCAAAATTACCGTTCCAAACTTTACGGATCCTTGTACACCGGATTTCTACAGCAGCGGAATAGATAAATTACCGTCTGAAAGACAGGGGGCTATAGATCATAATGATGCATACGTCGATTAAAAATAAAAGAATTACGCACGTAAAACAGGTCTAAGTTCACTGCCTTAGATTTCATACCCTTAAATACCATTATAAGTTTATTTGAGACGAGTGTGCAAACCAAACAGAAGATAAAGTTAGAATTAGCTGTACGCCATAACAATAAGCAACAAGAAGAACTGCTAGGTATCCAAAACCAACAGTTTTTTTATTTGACTGCCCATTATAGGTCAATAGGCTCTGAAAAGATGATTTATTATACTCGTCCTAGACTTCGTTCACACTGACCTTGGAAAATGTTTTTATTAAAACATCTAACTTATTTATAGCAAATATTAGCTTAGACAATTTCATTAATTAATTGTTGCTAAACAGTTTCGTGAATTTGTATTAAAATTTCCTTCGCTTGTCTATATGAGATAATCCCGATAATCAGTACTCTGAGTATGTTATAACAAGTCAGATGTGCAACTATATCAGCCTATGTTAAGACATATTTTTGTGGGAATTGCTTGTGTTTCGTCCGAAAATTATAGCTTTAATTTGAAACCTTCATCCTGACGTAAACAACATAGACACTCAGGACCATGTTTGACAGTAACGAATTACCTTGTGGCAAAGAAACTTGGAAAAGAATTCCCGTATTGATTCACTCGTTAGACGTCCATCCCCATGTGTAAAAGTGCAATTCCTTCGGCTCGAATCAATAGGCGAAGCGCGAATGTGTTCTAGGTTTTTTCGCGCTAGTTGATTCGGACGTTATTTTCCGATGCTCTTATAAGTGGGACTAATTGTGGAATTGGTAGAATCTACTTGTGTGGATCAGACGTCTAGAACTCATTGCACTGCTGTTAGATATCGACGCAACGAACGCGTTGCGTAGTTGTACGAAATGTGGGTATGTTCTACCAACGAATAGAACGAAGTTTTATTCTAATTTCTCAGCAGAGAGTACTTTTCAAAGTTGGCAGCTAATGTAGGTAATTTTACATTTATCTGATCCTTCTTACTGGCCTCTGTAGCGATTTATTAGAAATGGCAGCCCAAACAGAATTCACCTTGAAGACACCCAGCTCCCCAAAAGAAGACAACCCGAAGCACACACGACGATTGGGTATAGTTGTGCAAGGGTTCTAAAAGACGATTACACATAAAGTTTAAAGTTGTCGAGCTAAAGAGCTTAACGACAGAAAATCCGTATCGTGATCGATTCAAGTGATCACGAAAACCATTCTTGTCTATAGTGTCAGCAAACTGCAGAGCTTATCCCCGACAATAAAGAATTTGTATTTTTTCTCATGATTCAGATTTAGGTTTGAGGCAATTAATACATTTACATTCACGCAAATGGGTCAAATAAACACAGGTTGGTCTAACCCACTACCAAGCGTTTTAAGTAATATTTTGCTCAAATATTACGATACAAACATTTGTGACCTTTATACCTGTTCTACTCGGAGAATGCCTAACGTTTACCGTTCAAACAAACGCAGTTTCCCGTATCATATATGGCTAGGCTAAAAAATTGATATGTTTGTTAGCGGCACTTTATTAACATCCCTTTTTCAGTATATGATGCATATGATAAGTGTGATACATATATATGTGAAATAAACAGTTTGAGGGATTTGCTTAATTTACATATATTCCTTATGGTTGTACAAGGGGTATACATTCGGATATATTGAACTATCTAAAAGAGCGCTAATGAAAGGAAGGCACAGCTGGATCGTGCGTGAGACGTGAGGAGAAACATTAACTTTACGCGGTCGAGCGTCGTTGTTTAAGCGCGAGATGCTGTGTGGTTTAATGACAGCCCATACGATCCACAAACCGACGATTTTAAGTAAAAAATGATGAAATTTGCTTTGAGTGGCAGTTTACATAGACTGTCAATCGTCACGGTGGCCAACACAACTTTTCTCGTCCCCAAATGATATCGGTCGCCCACTCAGCGTATTGGCGGCAGTATATTTGACAGTCTCAAAATTAATTTTGAAATAAATCAAGGAAAAGAAAAAGCCGGGCGGCTTTTCTTGAACGTCTGTAGTTTAATAAAAGCATAGCCTGCTATCTAAGAACTTCCCATTTGCCTCAACGTTCTCTTTTCCGGTTCCAGCCACGTTCGTTACGATTTTTTTTGTGCCTTGAGTCTTCCAGTTCGTTCAACTAGTTCCTCATTTCAATCCTTACGTCTTCGTGTTTGTCGAAACGTAGTCGCTAACCATAAGGATCTGATTACGTAGACACATCCCATCTACATGCCTTTCGCCTTTACGGCCAGCAGTCGACCTAATTGTCTGTAGCAATGCTTAACATCAATACGGAGCATAAACTTCGAAGCATATATTTTTTAACTCATTGAAGCTATTTCGCCCTAAATTGGCCTTATCTTGGACCCGCTAGTAAACTAGTACGCCCAATTGACTGGAGCGATACTTAACGTCAGTACGGAGGACAAACTTCGAAGTATATAGTTTTTGATTCTCTCTATGTTTCAAGTTCTTACGTTCGAGATCGCTATTAGGCATTTGCAGGCGGTTTTCTTCTAACATGAGACGAAGTGTGTCTATGTCCAGATTCAAACCCACACCACAACGTGTCCCTAAGATGAATAAGGAAATATATTACCCACTAATCTATCACGGTGAATAATTTTGGCGCCTGGCAGCTTTTGTCTAACATGTTCGGTGTCTCCCTTTCCTAACGCATTTCCTAAAGGGAAAACCCATTTTACATATAGGGTAAATACAAAATTGGTTTTTCAGATTTATCTCGTGATCCGTAAACTTTGTAGGCTAAAATATGCGAGAGCCTTACAGCCTTTAGGATAAATAAAAGTAACCTACAAGTTCATTTCGAAATGTTTTTAGTGTAGTAATAAATAAGTGCTTCCATTTTCAAATTTTTGACACTAAATCCTTTCGTCGATACGTTAATGAGATCCGAAACACAGCTCAGTGGATAAAAATCAAGATAATCATTTTCCACTAATTTAAAGTAATTTACTTTTCGTTACAGTTATTTCCAAGTGAGCTAAAAGTTAACGCTGCGTTAGATTACTTTTTTGCTAATTAGCTATAAAGCATATTGAAATGCGCATCCACCGCATTTACTTCAAATTATTTCTTCAGCAGAAATATACCATTTAGTGGCTTCCTCTTCGGCCAATATCCTCATATTAGTCAAACATGCAATTATTATCTCTATGACATATCTCGAAATGCCCGAAATTGATTGAGAATTGACCGCAAATGTGGCGAAATTGATCATATTATAGCTATCTGTCATTTTTGTAACGATTAAAACAATTATTTTAAATATATGAATCAAATTGGCCAAGTCACGGAGCTGGCTGCTAATTGTTTACTACGAAAAAACTGGAAAATAAGCCATACCGATGGATCGTTACAAGCAAACATATAGTACGAAGTACGAAATCAGATCATTGCTTCACAGCGATAGAATGACACAGTTCAACATTTTGGATGATATGTACACAAGCTTTCGATGTGTCCGTTGCTGTATTAGTGTTCATAAGTGTTATTTAGGCTTCAACCGCCGTTGACAGTGGACCGGTCATTTGCAACAACGTTATATCTTAAAAACCGAAAAATGAACTGCTTTCAAACAGTTTCAAAGCAGTGTTATGTGATAAGTAGAGTAAGTGGTACAGTATTCCATATAGCTTTATAGTGGCACTTAACACTGTTGTCATTCGCTTGTAACCATGCAACAACAGCTGCGTGGTTACAAGCGATGTTAACATCGCCTTGTTGTTGTTAACATTTTAAATAATATCTAATCACGATTGAAATTTACGTGGTGCTTAGAATAGGAAAATAAGGCAGTGCTATTTGTTACTATTTTTGTGAATCAAGAAGAGAAACCAACAAGATAAGCGCAACAAAAGCAAGCTAAGCAGCCTAAATTGTCTTTAACCAAGTCTTTACAGTAGTTCTAGAGCATTGGTAGTTCTTTACTATATTGTACGAAGCATTGAAGTCGTTATAATTCGAAGTCCAGAAACCCGTCAGTGCGATGGCTTGGAATGTAAATTAGAAAAATTTAGAAAAATTAGTAATTAGAAAAAGTTTTTAATGTAAATCCAATTCAAATACGGAACATGCAAAAAAGAAGTACTGTGCTATGCAATAAATTTAAAAAAAAAATGTTATAAAATGATCTGAAATAACTCTTCTAAAAAGCTGGGGTTACTATTGGGATCTGAGAGGCTACTAGACACAAATCAACAAAAACACAAAAAAAAACAATTTCGACGCTAACAAAACAGAAGTTTAAATTTTAATAAGAACTCGCGTAAAACGAATTGTTTATTTATGATATGTATACAGCCAATCGTTGTTATAACTGCGCAAAGCACTTCATTGGGTAAGGGCTTCAAAGTTTACAGCACAAAAGAGGTTATTATGGCAATCGAATTATGATCGGGCTCTGCAAGCAAGCAGTTGTGGTTATGACCAATAACATGTATTCATTTGTATTTACATACAAGACAGTGCCCTGCAGTCATGCATTCAGCAGAACATTTGAAAGCAGTGGCTCGAGTACGGTAAAGCAATCCGTGAAAAAGATATCGAGTGCGCGCAGAAGTACCTCCTATTACTTCTTTTCGAGCACCTCAATATAGTCATTTGTCACGTCTAGTTAATAATAAGCGGTCGAAAAATCTACTGCAGCGAAAACTGAAAAAAACTAAAAGATTAGCCTAAGATATGGTATTTCTCACGGAAATGCATGACCGTATTATATAACTACTAACATTATTATAGAGTGCATTCAAGCAGATTGCAGAAAATCAAAGTTCCACACGAATAATTTTTTGTGCTCTCCGTGCAAAACGACTTAAGTCAATTTCGATATATGCTGCTGCCGAAGAATTTTAAGAGGGAAGATTCTCCGTTCTAAATTCCGCTCAGATCAACTAGTGTTTTACTCAAAGAAAATGACTCTTTGAATGAATTAACTCTATCAACTATTCTTTGTACAAAGAAGTCGATTTTATTTTAGACAATACAGCCTATCTCTACAAAAGCCCTTCAACTTTATACGACTCCAATTAATAAAGAAAACAAGACTGCATTTCATTTACACGATTACTTTATTATTATTATTTCGGCCCTCAAAAATTATAGTCGTTCTCAGTCAATTGTAATTCATCACTGTAAATAACGTGTGCGGCAGTTTTCCTACAACGCTGTATTCTGGCTGGATAAATAAAAATCGCACACCAGAAGATAAAAAAAACTCACTAATAATGACAATAATAATAATCATAATAATAATCATAGTAATAATAATAATAATAACAATAATAATAATATTTACTAAATAATAAACACCTAGTACTTATCTCGTGATCGGTCACTGTTCTCGTTGGCTTTTTTAAACTGCGGTTTTATCCTCTCTATTGCTATTATTCCATTCGTTCATCCCATCCATACCTTCGACTTTTGTAACAACTTGCTTATTTGTAGCATAAAGCATTCATCCTATAATCACTTTCATATTGTTGTTAATTAATATTATGGTTATTGCTTGCTTGGCTTAAACTCGATGTCCCGATAGCGATTTATCCATAAACTTGCGGCGAGCAAAACATAGCCACCACTTTGAGGGTTTGCCTGAAAGATACAGAGAATTATCGGCTCTTCTTATTGCTTCTCGTTAAGCAGCGACTACAGACACTGTAGTGTCCTCACTAATTTCTGAATTTAAACTGATGGTTAGTCTTTCACGAGATTTCAATGCTTAATGAAAAAAAAATAATTTGTGCCAAGAAGTCATTTAAATATGTCTGCACACTACATTTTAATACATGTATACACCTTTTTCTCTTCACTGATGAGATAATGACAGTATCAATTTAAAAAGTGTTTAATCCGATAATCATTTTACAAATGACGTTTTCAGTTTCACCGGCTAGAAATCCCTTTACTAGCAATAACTTCACTTCTCTTGCCTATTTTAAAGTGAGAAAAAAATACCCTTAGTATTATTAGGCAAGATACATTAGTAGATTACTTTATCTACGGTTCGAGATCAAGCTTTGGTATTGCGAACCCCGCCTTTCGACCCGTTTCTACATCTATTCCCAACAGTTAACATACAACTGCTTGAATACAACGAACAATTACCTTCGGCATCAAAGATCCGTTCGACAAGCCTGAGGCCGCATTCATGTCGAATTTGCAATAAAAACTGTCTCAGCCTGTCGGCCTCTGCTGATGTAGCAGGCTTGCTATACGTCGCGTTGAGAGGAAAACCCGGATCTCCCGGAATGTCAAAACTAGAAATGATAAAGAAACGAGAGAATGTCTAATCATTTAATTGCCGTTTGTGGCCCATTTCGTGCAAATGAAACCAGCTCACATAGTACTTCCGCTATTTACTTTTCAGTAGATTCGCCCAAGTTAATAACTAAAAAGAAATAGTTAAACTAATATACCTTGCAAAGAATAATAGCATTAGCACGAAATAACTCATCCACGTTTTTATTTACAAACGTCTTGGTTCAATTATAGATATATAATGTCAGTGACTGGTAAGTTTAATAAACGCATCGTAATGATTTCTGTCCAACAATATTATACCTTAATAATTAACCGTCACTCGTCATTGCGTTTCTCATAAATGTAATTAACCTTCTACTGTGTTTAATAGCAAAACAAGCGCTAATAACCCAACATTAGTTGAATTGTCATTACCTGGAGTGCGCTAGGGAATACATCTCCTGGCTGGCTTGTTGCTTTGATGTGCACCTTTGTAGCCTTTTGAGGCAGTCCGTGATATACAAAGTGACATATATAAGGACGCGATCGGCCTCGGACTTAATTTCGTAGTTCCGGAAAAATACGTTAGCCCTGAAGTAGCTTATTGCCTCATCAATAACGTCCTGTAGGTAAATAAAAATAGAATTACGATAAGAAAAAAGTCACCATCCGGTTTTCGTATACTACTCTCATGCAAATTTCATGCAGAATATTGCCTTTCAATTAATTTAGACGCTGCTCTACAAACGAACTGCGCGTGACTCGTAGATAGTACTCATAGTAACCCAGAATTAACAGCAGTTTAAATGTTCCATAGAATCAATTCATTTGACCATCAGTACATAAAACGTAAATTAAAACTATAAAACTGATATAGCAAGGTGATGACATTACTCCTGATTTGGCGTCTCGATGAATTTTACTACTATCATCATCACCATAATAACCATAGGCATACTTGTTACATGATTTCTATTAGCCATTCGAATCAAAAAGTTGAGAGACTGTGCAGCAACAAACATTTGAAGAGTGACAACAACATTAATAGTGATATCACAATCCTCATCACTTACCAGTTCCATAAATGGCTAAAAATATATCATACACCAAAGCGATTAGTGTGTGATTAATCTACCAAGGTAAATCACAAGCACTCACGCACACATACATTTTACTACTACGCTCATATCATACAATAGTTAGTACAAACTTGCATAGGTTTTAAGCACATATATATATATATACATAAGCTCGGATAATGTTACTTATGTAAGCAGATCATTGCCAAGTAACATGACCCTAGCCTGACTATCGGGTAACTTATTTCCAGCGTTAATTCTCAATCAGTAGTCTTCTTGATAGTTGTATACCACTACTCGGAGCAACGAACGTCCAGATCAATCTTGTTTGTTGAACCCATAATAATGCAAAACGGGCTGAAATTAGACAGACTACAACAATAAATAATATTCAAAATAACTGATTCAACGGAAATCACAGAAAGAAAGACAATAAATTACGCTGCTCACATTTATTGATCGAATTAATAGCATCCACATAAAATTTGAAAACAATCTGCAAATAAAGCGCCCATAATTTTGTGCAGGTGTTTTAAAGTAATGGCTTGACCCTTGTCGAGAACGCTTTGCTATTAGCTAGTACTTACCATATCATCTCCGGTGGGTTTCGGCGCTGGTCCACGGACCTGAGTTCGAATTGGTAATAGGGCCATATTTCCCAGACTTTGAACCCCCACACAACTCGAATGGTAAGCAGGCATGCTTATTTCTTTTCTTTGCACAGTACTGGTGATGAAACTGGCAGACAATTCTCAACTGTATATGCCTTTATCACGGGTCGCACAAGCGTCGCTCAAAGATCACAAGAATAATTTCAAGTCAGTTCAGCAAAAAGTTCGGTATTCAACAAAAATACTAATACAGAGCCTCCGAGGACGACTTAGTCACAACACTGCCTAAAAACAAAGAAGAGCCATCAGACGCAGCTGTGCTTGCTCAGTCACGTTGTCAAAGAAGAGGCGATAAAACTGCAAGCGAGCATACGATACTGGACAGGCTGCCGGAGCTGCCCTTGTTGGTCACACACGGCCATCCACTAATACAGCTCCGAGCACGAGCGGCTTTTGTGCTCTAGAGCGGCACCGCTCATAGTTGACATCAATATCGACCACCACTATCCTTATTGTTCTTAGTACTGTTAGCTGCTTGGCTGTGTAAATAAGGGGATTTCGGCGGTGACAGGACCAGACTGGCAACACCGACATTAACACACCCGATAGTACAGCTGCAATCGACCTGTATTCCGTCGATTGGGCCACCCAGGCCTTAATGGACGGAAAATGTTGGCGGGAAATTTTGATTTATGCTAAAGTAAGGGCATATTTGTTATTTACTTCGCCGATTTTTAATTAAATTGACGATTAATACACGCAGATTATTTAACGTTTTATTGTTCTTATTGATGGTTGAAGAAAGCGTTACCACATAGTTTTGTATAGGTGTTGTTCCTACAGCGAATACGTTAGGGCAGACAGTAGTATTTGCTGGTTCTCTATCGTTATACAGTCTATGATGTAAAATTCTGTTCATGCGTAACATCGAGTGCTCATTCATAATTAGCTAAACGAAACTAACATTTTGTATATTTGTTTTATATCGAACAAATACTAGAAAAGTATGACGCATAGCTAAATATTATCGATACTAGCGAAATCATGTATTTCCCCGTTTGGTTCCTTTTTTGTTTTGTAGCAAACAAATACTAGAAAAATATGACACATATTTAAATATTATCGATACTAGTGAAATCATGTATTTTCCCGTTTCGTTCCTTTTTTTGTTCTATTTTGTAAAACGAGTGGAATTTCACGCAGAAGAAGCCTCGAAAATGTAACATCGGAAAAATGAAGGCGAAATAAAATTACGGGAAAGACTAGAAGACGTCTTTGAGGCAATTTAGTTTCGACAAGCTTCTATAATTCAATTTTTATTTTCATTAAGAAATTACAACTAAGATGTTCCAAAGTGCGCACTTCTACAACCCTTCAGACTGTAGCTCTGGCTACCCGGTAAATAATGGATGTAAATTACGCAAAGCAAAAAATAGCATTACAAACCGGACTCTATAGATGGAATATGCTGCGAACAGCACTACAAATAAAAACGCATGTTATATGGTACTGTAAATTAGTTTACTCAAAGACAAGATTTCTAAGGAATATAAAGGAACAAGTATTGTTTATAACACTTTTCAGTATTTCGTTATTCCACAACGTCGCCCCCTTCTTTATATAGAAATTTTCTAAACTTTTCTAGACTATGGTGACGATGGCTAATAGTGTTCTTAACTTCTGAAGATAACTCGCCATAGGTCTTGTCGTAACCTTTAGGTTGGAAGCAAGCATCCCAGCCGAAATCTCTCGAGCCCCGTGGAGGAACGATCTCACCATCAGTAATACCATGGAAAAGGTGGATCTCCGCATTGGGAGATTCACAGTAAGCGAGCGTGCAAACAGCTTGAGCGGTTTTGTCCTCGAAGCCTGAGAAAACAGAGCGAGTATCTAGTAAGCTTTTTGTCGTTTATTATTGCATAGAGCAACTAAATGTGAAACTGGAATTCAAAATAAGAATGGTCAAAATAATAATACCCGGATGGGTGTCTATTGCTCACAGTAGAAATATATAGTATCCATACGTATGTGTACTGAGCATTATTTCGCAATTGCGTGTCACTTGTAAAATTACCTCGACGAAACTTCTTAAAGGAAACGTAGTTCCAAGCAATAAATCACATCGCGCTATGATAATTTACTGCAACTGATCAAGCGTCAATTGTTCGTTTTCTTACCAGCGAGCAGCTTGTAAAGTCCTTCGGGCATCAGTTTTTCTAAGAACCATTTGATATAAGGTCCAGGTAGCCCTCCGAGTGCATTGAAACACAGACTTGTATCTTCTACAATAACAGGGCCATGCACATGCTTAGCCGCAGCACGGCACTTCTCCCTAGAAATGTGATCTATCTCGCCCTGATACTCAGGAAGATCCACTTTGGTAGATGTCAACTCGTACCCTGAGCCCACAATGAGAAACAAAAGCAAGGCAAACATGTTCTTTGAAACTTTCTGAACGTATACATTATGATAGATTAGCTTGTACAATATTTTGCCAATTCCCATTCAAGCACACTGGAAGCCGCATCCTTGCCGGAATATAAAGCAGTATTTATTCTTTATACTGTATTTAACTGTTCTTGGTGATTCCCAACGTTTTCAACAACAATCAGTCAAGTTCCATTGAATTAACATCCGTACCAGATATAAACAGGGACAATACTGGGATGAAATAATCGAGTGATGTGTCAAGAAAACATTATTATCGATTTTGTCCTTGAGAGCGCTACCGACGAAAAAACTTTTGAATTTCATATCGAAATTGGCAGTTTAATTTTCAATTTATACTAAGACGACTTACTAACTGGCTAGGCAAGTAATCAAATTCGGTAAAGCGTTGTTTCGACCCGCGTAGTTATTGTAGTTGCATTCTAACTAACTTCAACAAATTCGGCTCTGTGAATGGGATCCACTATATGCGTTGCAAGTGAAACGGTTAGTTAGAAGAATGCGGGAAATATATTTATTCATAAGGACTAACCGTGAGAAATTTCTTATTTCGGTTTATTATTTCCTAAATTTGTGGGTTGGTCTAACCTTAAAAGACACCTTGTCGGTCACTAAAGTTCTGTTATTCTGTGCGGGATTCGAGCCGATAGGGTAGATTGTTTTTCCCCCAAAAGAACAAACTTTTTTCATATCGTTTGCTGAAAACACCACCTCACCACTGTTTACAAACATTTGACTAAACGTTGTCTTTAGAAGCTTTTAGGTTATATCTATTAGGAAATACTTGACTGCTATCTATTGGGCCGCAACATAATTCGCCTTTTACTTCTATAAAGATAAAATGTGTTCAACAGAAAAACAGAGGTGGGACGATCCTCATTGGTGATGCTCTAGTGTATATCTGAAACCTTATTCATATATAGAAGGCGGTGCAAACATTCGCTGATAATTGATAAATTCGTCAGAAGTGAAGGTTGTATTTGCTTGAATTTCCAGCAATACTTAAAGGATTCTTATTACCGCTATGTGTATTATAGCTTTTTGGACGAAATGAATGTACACACAGTCATACTACATACATAATACTAAGATATGTATTGATCACGATAACCAGTACATCTTTTAATTTTAAACAAATCAGCCAATCCTTCTATTCATTTTTATGCTTTTACCTGGAAGCACTCCTAAAATCTTGATGACTTCCTGCAATTTATTCTTATTGCCTGTCACAAAGGTAATTTTTTTAGCGGCCATATTAGTATTTAAACCGCTTTCAATTAGCATCAATCGACGTTACAGATCTAACTGCAATAAGCACTAATCACTGAGAAGCCCTCCGTAGAATGGTGTTTTCACACACAAAACTTTCTAGGTATGCCTCGGCAACAAAAACACATGGGACATTACTGGCGGATAAACGCGAGCTAAGCGCGCGGCAGGTTCGAACAGGCCCGCCAAAGATTCAATACTATCTGGCGAATGTAGTGAAACCTAGTGCTTATGGAGCGGAATTCCTAAAATAGTGTCAAACGATATCGAAATGATTCACTTTGAGATACGTAAAGTGTGATAATATTGCCGTCAGTAACGTCTTTTTACCATTCTTATAATTTCACTTGTAAACCCGCTTAACTTTGTCGTTGGTTGGAACGAACGAGCTTTTCACAGCCACCCGCTCTGCGCTTACTTAGCCGTAGAAATGTATTTACTCATGTATTTGTCCGATAATGCTTAATCTATTAAAGTATATATTTTTATTTTCTCTCATTAGGCTTCCAATTTCTCACAGCGTATGCACTTGAATTCTCTACGATCTGATCTTCACAAACCTCTGTAGGAAGCAAAATAGCACTGCATGCATTGGGTACAAAGCAGCGCCCCGAAATCTTTCGACACGATAATTCTAAACCTGAACAAAATAGGGTTGACATTTTGAAACACCAATTCATGGAATATAGAAACTAATATTAGTGTCTTAACATAATTTGGGTAGTTTACACATAGTGTCAACTGCACAACTACTATACAATATACTATATAATACTAAAACCGTATTTAGATGCCCGCCAAACGAGACAACAGTTATATTGAATTCAACCGGGTATAAGTTGCTTCGAATCTAGGCATGCAAAATAGGTTTATATAAGCCTGTTCATGTGATTTCATTAGGTCCTTTTGTATGTTCCTGCTCGATGAGTGATTACATTTTTTCAACTCTATCTGTTTTTCGCTGTTGTAACATTTGTTATATTAATAATCTGTAAAATTTACAATGTTCTGCTGAATGAATTCGCATATTACTAAAAACTGTTGTCCGGTTTACAGTGTTGTATCACAAGCATTTCGCTTATCTTATTTCAAGATCATATGGGAATAAGTAGCACTTGAAGTATTTGTATTTGGAGACCAAAGCTGAACAAAGAACAATCTAGCCAGCAAAAATAAATACAAACCCGTAAAGACTAAAACACACTTAAAGGATTCCGTTCAAGTAAAACATTTAGTTTTTATTAACATTATTATGATATTAAAATCTTGGTACGTGACTATACGTCACACTCAGGTTTCCTTCTTTGTATATGTACAAGCTTAAAGGCAGTCTGAAATTTACACTTCAGATCCTCTTTACTTCAGCACTTCGCCGCCTAAGACACCGTTAGTGCCTTAAGCATGCGTAAGTGGTTGTACAGCCTGGGCGTCTTCTTGCAAAAACGCCAAGGCGAACAACTTCGGGCTATATACTGCGCGAATGAAATATACCTAGGTAAGCTATTTATTCTCTCTTGTATCCAACGGGTCGATTCCCTCGTTGAGGATCTTGTTCTTGAACTTTTCGTAATCCCGTTTACGATCAAAGTGTTTGACCCATGTGGATGGGCACATTTTTTCGAAAATGTCTCGCATGGCTTCGCACGGCGATACCTCATCCTTAAAGGGCAGATAGTAATAACGTGGGATAGAAGTGATAGTAAAAAACGAAAGAAGATTGTGCTCGCAATGTAAGCATACATTAAAGCTACTTAGCGTAAATGCCTCAAGATTAAAAAATAATATCTGCCTTTGAGTATCAAATTAGCTAAAAAAAGATAATTAGTTCGGTGGTTTTTTGTATGGGTAACTTTATAACATAACAAAATCAAGTTTACTCTGGGTTTATTTATTATATGACAATCCCTATAGCGTTTAGCGATAAAAGGGAACTATAGTAGGTTAGATGTTAACCACTATATTGGTATCTCGATTGCATAATAAGATTGTGGCCATGACAGGTTCACCTGATTTTGATCTAGACACAACCAGTAGTTGTCTCTCGCTCTCCAGCAAGCCTGACGCGCTTTCTTGTTTGGAAACGACATGTCGAAACTTCGGTGGTAATGGACAAATTTCGCTCCTCACTACCTGTAATTAGAGTCAGTAGACAAAACCTTTCACATATTCTTAGTATTAGTATAGGCAGTGCTGTGACTAGTAGACGTCATCAATATGTAATGCTTAGAACAACAATTCTTCATGATAATTGTCTAATTGGAATTTGACTCAAGAAATTTTTTTCTCTGAGTCTAAAGATACCTAAATAGTAACGATAAAATTTCAACCATGTGAGCCAGAGAAACGTTCGTGTTTCTATACTATTCTACTCATCGCAAAGATCGATAATGGGCGCCACTATAGTACACCAAGAACGGAATTATTGCTGATATTTTTGTACGATAAGCGGCGAAGATTATTCAAAAAAAAGTTCCATAATCCACGTTGCGAAAGCTCATATCTCGCAAAATAAGTCTCTGTAATCTAGTTACTTTTTTACAATCAAATTTTTCAAAGCTGTCTACAGAGTTATTGAATCAGTTAACTAATCATGCCATTATATGATACGTTTCTATTTCTCGGAAAATCCTGAACGCAAACCATGTATGATAAGTGGAAACTAAATTTATAGTATTTTTGATATGGGAGGGAGAGGATATCAATAAACGGCATTGGAATACGCGCACAACAAGTCGAAAAGTTCGAGCCAGCTGAGTTCGTCACCCACGGATCATAACAATGTTTCTAACTTGCCGTTGTATGCCAAAGAAACCAAAACTAACAAAATTTTAATTATAAAAATCTGATTACACCCCTGATTGCTCTCAGCACTAAGTTTGAATCCAGCCTAGTCTCCCTTTCTTAATCACGAGTGTATAATGCTATTTAAATAATACGGTGCGCATCTGCGATTTCTTGGAATTAATAACCGAAATGTAAATTCTACAAAGGTTTTAAATTTGTCCAACTACAGACTGTATTATATAGAAAGCTTACACAGCGGAAGGGCACTTTCGCTGGACTAGGAAACACAGCCTGCAGAACAACGATTCATTCCTGTCTTCAAGTATACGTTCTCTAAGTAGGTTCGAACGCAATTCGAACATCGAGGACAGACCGGGTTAACACAAATACTGCTAGCATTCAAGGGGATCATCAACCTCAATATTTAGATCAGACACTGAAAAAGTGAAATGGGTCGTTTGTGGGACAGGTGTTGGCGCGAACTAAACACGCTCTATGTTTCCCCAACAAAAAAGCGATGTAAAATCGAACATAGTCGTATGTTTGACAAGAAATGCAATTACATGGAGGAGAACATCAAATGACAGCCTTTGCCTTCTAAAACTATTAAACTTGCACTCAGTTAGACTAAGCATGGTGTTGTGTAATTAAACATCTTGTGCACTACGTGGTGGAACTTTCCTACACCTCAGAATTCGTGTATTTTGGTTTTCGTATAGTGACGATTATTAAAAAGGTTGTTTAAAAATTAACTGGCTAAATGCAGGTGATTCCCGTAGAAAAGGTTTTGGATGTATCTTCCGAACATTCGGTAGGTTATTTGGCCCGACTAATTTATTACAAAAGAACACAATCGTACGTAATAGAAATCATTTGATAACCATATGAGCTTTTTGTAAACGTTATTATTATTAATAAATATATGTACATGGGCTTCTACAAATAATGCATCTCATTTTTATAAATTATAATTAGGATAGTAACTACGAACAATAATCCAACTAGCACGCCTATGGTGTAATTGGCGGTAGAAGAAAAATAAGCATTACAATAATGCCAGCGATGTTTTTCCATCAATATGGCTCAGATATTTCAGATAGAGTTGAAATGTGAGCATCAACATGCTTTTGTGATATCGAAGAACGCAACAGGACGTTGTAATAATTAAGTACCTTTAGTGACGCCACTATTACAATGTGATTGCACAATTGGATATCAAAAATACTACACAATATAAGATATAATTAGATGCTATATATTAATTACATATATTAGTGCTAGAAGAATGTAGACGCTAATAATAAACAACTTTAACAACTTAAACGTATTGGCCACATATTTCATAGCAAACTACAGGCATTCTTACTTGAATTATAAAAGTAATCCGTTTGTATTACAAAAATAGTAATTTATTGAGGTGAATATCCTTACGTCTTGTTATTGCACGTGACATCTCATAGCCAACCATATTGTTATTCATTTGATGTTTATAATTCGTGCCTAGCATATTACTAACATTGACTATATCAATTTAGATTAAGATATTTAATAAAAACTGACGATATTACAACGCGATGAAGGCCTCAACATATCGGCCATATATTAGATCTACGTATTGCATTGTTATTGAGTTATAGTGATCATTCGTCTCCTTGGAATTCAGACTTGTCGGACGCTTACTATCTTTAGTTTTTTATTCTAGGACCACAAAGCAGTTTCTTTGGTGACGGGCTTTGGCCAATGGAAAACAGAATTACCTGGCGAGGAGAAAGCTGAGCTATTACTGAGGCTAGGGCAACTCCACAGGATCGCTCGCATTGAAGTCGCCAACGAATGTTCGTTATCGAAAGCCAATAATCAGTCACTATAAATCTACGCAAACTGCACGACTTTTTTAGTAACACAAACCTTTTTTTCTTGCTACTCAGTGAATCGACGGACACGCCCTACCAACGAAAATGCATCTGAAATGTTTCTGTACGACGTGCCCTAAAACTACTTTGGCTAATGTCGAGAAGATAGGTTTTATTATATGAGGAACCAATATTAGAGTTGATCTATTTTTTAAATGTTAAAACTTGGAATGCTAGAAGTAGACTTAAACCGCACTTGAAGTTGACTATTGATAATCTTGCCTTTGCAGTTTTTGCGGTTGTGGCACGCACGCACTAAAATGGACTTTAATCTCTTTTATGGATATCCATAAACCTTTTTCGTCTGTTATTAATTGTTGTTGTTATTAGCGTATTCGTCGGCATTTTGGCAGACTGTCGAGGATATCGAAGGAGTTTAGAAATATGGATAACTGGGAATCTAAGGATAACAGTTATGTTATTTTGTGTTATTTTTTGCAGAAAGTCTCATTATTGTCTATGTTAGCTTAGTTCTCAAACAATCTTTAGGATGCTTACGTACATAATTTCTTCGAGGTAGATTTTTTTCGCGATTGGCAGAAGTACCAAGAGGCTTGGACATATTTGCGTGTACAATTAAAAATCGATAAAAATTCAATTAGACCCTTTTGTATGAAAACATCTCATAGGGTATGTTAGAGTTGGCTTTGATCTTCGAGATCGACTTTGGAAGGTATCTGCACCTCATATGTCCTTCCTTATGCATTTATGAAATTTTGTTACAAAAGCTTTTTGTTGATACGAAATGCTTGCTGTCCGCTCAACACTGACATATAGGTTCTGTGTGCGTTTGTCGAGTTGTAACGGATATTACGTGTTGGTCCGCCGACCTTCGCCTCTCGAAAAACAGTTTTTTGTTTACTGTTTCCAAGCTGAAAATAAATATTTTTGTACACCAACATCAATTTGTGATGTCGGGAGCTTCTGATTGCTACCCAAATAATGCCATTTTACGAACTTAATTTCTCGAAGTTTCTCCATTTTGTTGGACCGCATTTGACTAATATGTTTGTCATTTCACCCCTACAACTTTTTCATAGACCCCTAAACAAAATTTGTTTAAACAAATCCGTTTTGTCGCTAAGAGGGACAAAAAATTAGAAACAGTTCCATTTAGAGGCGAACGAAGGAATGACGAGATGCCGAGGATATGCGTGATGAAGTATAGAGTTTGATCTAAGCAAACTGAACACTGTCATACGATCGTTCTCGTCGTCATACGTACATCAAGCTCTAACTTCATTATTTATGATCATTAATTTGTCAATGTAATATGACGTAAATGTAACCTCGTAAAATAAGTTAGTTTTGACAGACAAACATAGTCCTCTAAGCCGATCTAATCTAAGCCTGGATTGAACGTCATTGGATTCAGCATCCGCATGGTTGGATATTCGAGTGTCACGAGAAGGAACTCCGTTTGTCGCTCTTCTGCCAACGCTTTGTCTGCAGTCTCGAAAGGAAAGCAAGGAAGGTAACAACGCACGCGGTAGGAAGATACTCGAGGCAAAGCACTTTAACGAAGAACTTCGACAGGACAAATTCGACCTAGTTAAGATTATTTGCAGACAACCATTTAACAGGTAAGCACCGCCATGTCAATAAATTTTGATTTCGAGTATTACCGAGCGCTCTCATTGCACCCGTTTTTATAGACGATGTCTTGATGAACATAAATAAAAGAGAATATTTGCATTATATACATGTATATTTGTGGTATAAGCTGTGTAAGTTTGTATAACCTCGTAAGCCTAGAGCACTTCCTGCTAGAGCAGAGATCAATAATAACGGTTCGTTATATAAAATACCATCGTATATGCACTTCTTTTGATGTTTAGATCGATCTTGTTTGGACTTTCGCACCTCAAATTCTTCACCTACCCACCTGAAGAGGAAGATAAGAAAAACAGGCTGAGGAATCCTTCAGGAACCTGTGTGGATAAAGGAGAAGAAATCGTTCTTGATATTGTCCATAATCCTAAGAAGAATAAGACAGAGGGCAACGAAGTGGCAGCTGTGGCCATAAAAAACGCGTGCATCCAAGATATCAATAGAGAGAAAAGATTTGTGGTAAACATCTGAAAACTGCTGGTTTTACATTTTACAAAATAACATAGATTCCACGTTAGTGTATTTACAGGATTTCTGCGTATTCAATTTCAAATGGCTACATTTCTTTCGAAACACCTGATTTAACGTGTCTATAAATGTCTTTAAAAGTTATATTCAAGTCTGATTCTTAAATTTAACTGAATTAATTTTTGATACGATTATAGAACTCGCCACTTAACGACGGTGATTCTGATTCATACGATGGAAGCAATGGGCTAAGGGCAAAATCATTGCTCAAGCATTTTACCGACAGCGCGTCATTTTCGACTACGGTTAATAATCTTAAACGTACGGCTTTCGCTAACCGATCACCAGGAGTCGTTAAACCCAGTTTTGTATTTGCGCCGAAGACGAGCGCGGCCGAACAGGAAGCTCGTGCAAAGAAAGCAGCTGCTGCGGCAGACGAAATTATACCCGGCAAGTCACCAAAGAAACCGCGAGTTTTAGCTGCTTTTGCATCATGTCCAAGTACCGCTAAACAAACTCCGATATGTAAGCAGAGCAGAAACGTGAAAACAATGAAACCTTTAAGTATTTAGCAGCAGATGAAAATGCTGTAAACAATAAACGTTTACCCTTAATCTACTCTCAGCCAGAATCGAAAGTTACGTTGTAGCTCCCAATTCCTGTTACCTTTGGAACATTGCTACGGGACCTATGAATTGCATACGCTCAGTTCCGTAGCGATGGATCTTTCACATGTGTGCTTCCAAATGACATTAGTAGCAGTTTTGAATCTTTTTCTAAAAGACATGAATAGTATTCGATAATGTCGCTTTTACAGGTAACTCGTCAACTACGACTAGCTTGGATAACAACGCAGAAAAAGACATCGACCAAAGATTTCTTCAGCATTCCTTCTCCAAGTGGAAAAAAAAAGGTAAAACAGCGAAAACTCAAGAAGGTGAGGTTGAGTTTGCTCAAACTGTTACTTCGAGTCCCATTAAAACCTCTAGAAAAACCAGGTCCTCTTCGCCATCGCTTCGAGTACGGTCCAGTACAGTCGTTCGGAAGTTACAAGACAGTGGAGATAAACATGGGTCTTCTACCGATGCTGAAACTGATGAGGCTCGGAGAGTACCGCCACCGAAGGTAACTATTTTCGAAAATCGCAACTAAGTGTCTATATATCCTACCTTTCCAATAAAATGTTATTGATGAGTAAGGAAAAAACATCTCGAATTAAGCTATCAATACAAAATTATTTGTCGTTACAGGTTCGCACTTCTATGCTGGAGTTATCCACAGAATTGCGCGCGTTTAAGAGAAGGTCCGTTGCTGAGGGTAGAACAGATCAGAAGTCAGTTTTCGCCGCAGCGGGAGCGTCTACAAATAAAAAAGCGAGATCGAGCGGCGACATTTTGCAAAAAATATTCTCGTCTAGTGAAGATGAGTCAACTGCGGCTCCTGTCACTAGCGCCAATAATAATCACAATCCCAACTCTGCTAACCAATCTGCAGAAACACAACACAAGACATTACGAAATCATCCAATAGGACACAGCTCTAGTTTATATCAAACGGAGGATGATATTTCAGAAGATAGCGAGCCCCAACCTGGCCCTTCGTGGCGAATTGATCCACCAAGAAAGAAAAGGGCAGTCAACGGAGAAATTTTCAAGGAAATGGCTAGAAAAAAGGCTAAAAACGGACTAAATGAAGCAGGTCTGTAGAATCATCAAAATATTTGCGGTTTGAAATAAGCAACACCGATAAGCTTGGTATATGAATGCATGTGTTGTGATTAAACCCAATATAAAGACAAATAGTTGCTGGTTTTGAATTACTGCGCATAATAGAGCTTGACGTATCCATCAATATCTGTCAAGGATTCATAGTTTCTTCTATCATATACATTTTTCGTTGCCTCTTATGCAATAATATTACCAGATGTGTTTTAAATTGAGCACGTACATACAATTATTTGCATCTAAACGTGTCCATACGTGCGACCTTTTCTTCGTTTTTCGTTGAGACCAAATACCGTTCTGTAACTGCTTATTGATTTTTTCTTTTGTTATATTGTAGCTGCACTGAATTATACTAAACCACGCGGATCCCCGCCTGAATATGGCTCTATTGACAGCAGGGATACTGCAGATTCTACCACAACGTTACCATCAATTGTGGTAAAATCAGAAGTTCGTAGTGACGACGAAGATCTACCGATTATGATAAAAAATGAGGTCATCGAATTAGGGGGTACGTACTTCTACGTTTGCAACCTATAATATGTATAAGACCGTATTTTAGGAACTCAATTGAGAACGGAAATAACGCATCGAAGCCCGACTAATGCTGCTTATTTTGCACACTGGTCACAGACTCAGACGACACAATTGACTTGGAAGTTTCGAAGAGTAATAAGGAAAACGGACAGCACAGAAGAAGGAAAAATCATAACCCACCAGTCAATTGTGAAGTTGATAGTGACTCCGACCTTGAGGTAAGTACTAACCGATTAGACATCACTTATTCAAAGTAGATATTATTTAGTATCAGAAATGGAGTTAGTTGAGAAGCAGAGACAGATTACTACCCAGTAATTAAAGCCGGGTACTAAAACGACTAACCTATGATAGCGCTTATAGTGCTATTAGTCAGCTCAGTTATGCCTTTTTATATATGTCGTATTATTGCAATGGGACGATGGTTTATTATTGATGGTATTTTTTGAAAATCTGATTTCTCTTATAGGTATTTTCTATAATTTATTTTTCCGTTTTTTAAATGATTAGGTAGTAGGCAATAAGCTGATGCGTGGTGTGGTATTCGCACTAAGCGGCTTTAAGAATCCTTACCGTGCGTCGCTGCGAGGTATGGCCATTTCAATGGGCGCAAAATACAGACCCCACTGGGATGACACCTGCACACATCTTGTGTAAGTATTAAACAGCTGTTTCAAAGCAATTATATACTAGTATATGATAAACGTAAATGCTATCACCCGATCCCTAGACATTACAATACTAAGTCAACAAGTATCGAGAATTTCAAAAAGCTCGTGTGTTCCAATTATCTCTTTCCGTTACATTCAAAATATATGCGCCATTGTTTTCTGAAGTCGTAAAAATAGCTTTAAAGCTTGAAAAGCAAATCGAAGCCCTTTTTAATCTTGGATTCCCTCAATCGTCTCAAACCATTTTCCTTCATCTTTTCATGAGTCAAAAGAAACTAAATTTCGTTGCAATACAGATATCGAGCTTTTCTGCAAAGATGTAACAAATAGTGCCGTATGGGCCTATGTACCAGATCGTAGCGAATAACCCGCTTTTTACACTCCTAGTATTCAGACTTAGATCAGCATTTACGAAATATTTTTTATGTCTTCGTAACATCAAAGCCAAAGGGACGTTTAGAATAAAGATAGTTATCTACCTGATCTTACAACTTTATTTAATCTAGGCTTCTCGTCAAGCGATACACATACGGTCTTTCTTTTGTTTTATGTGATATCCATAAACCCACTTTTTATCTTTTGCAATCACACGTTAGATTTGTGACAGCCTTGATTTTTCAAAGAATTTAGGTCTTTTGGCGCTATGCTTGCTGTGAACTTCCTAGTCACCAAGGAATTTTTCAAAATGATCCAACATCAGATCGAAAAAGATGTTTGATACCTCTGCGAGTTTTCTCAGGGCGATCCTGCAATCTTCCAACATGAGTTATTTTGCCTTGTTTTCAAAGATACTCGCTGTGACAGATTTTAGTTCGTCTTCAAATTTCTCATCCATCAACACTTAGTACCACTTATGCTTGCAGTTACTGGGTCTTAGCAAGGACCTTGAAAATCTTGAGTGGCATTTGCATTACGAACATTTAATTTCGTTCTTAATACACATCATGATGTACAGTCTTTAATATTGCTTCCGTAACGAAACATTGAATGCTACCTATTTCAAAACGCCTACGAAATATTTTTCGGAATACGACCTTGATCATATTACTATAGGTTCAGTAATAACGCCATACATAAGATCTCATTTACGTTTTTTCTTTGCTTATAGATGCGCATTTAAGAACACACCGAAATTTAATGAGGTTCACCGCAAAGGAGGTAGAATTGTTACCGCGGCCTGGATTGCGACATCTCACCTTAACCAAAAGCTTTCTTACTGGAAAAAGTATGTACTAATGTCTCTCTCTCTCCCTCTCTCTCCCCCAACAATACATAACGCAAGTAAGCGACTCTCTGAAGGTCTAATGCTGATTCACAGCAACATATAAATTTATTGTAGGGTACTTTAACCATCCATCGTATATTTTTAGCGCAATCCACTAAAAGTATGGGCTCCCTTATGAACTATACTTACATTTCTAGAAAGCTCGCTTACTCAGTGCTGCTATGAATACTGTATGTGTGGTGCACTATACAGAATTCATAAACATTAGATGACAAATTTCACAAGGCTAGTTTATATAATAAAATTAGCTAGTTTATGTACGGGCATTTCGACTGTCTGTGACGATGCTAAAGAACTTCTGTTATACCGTTAAACATGATTATAGTATGCTACTTCGCTATTGTTAACAGCGAAATTAATTTTGTCAAGATGCGTCACTTGCTATCCAGTGTAGAGCTTGATACTCAGTAATCATGGGGGGTTCTGTAAACTTGATATTATATCCTAGCCCTATAAAACAAACGAATATAATGAAAATAACGTGTCTTCAACTAAAACGCTAAATAGTTACAATGACATTTTAATAATATACATATGCAGCAATCATATATATATATATTTTTTTTCTATTTTTCTTTTTCCTATCCTTCTACTTTGTGTTTGGATGGATTTCAGTTATCGACTTGATTAGGCTCAACCGCTTTGCTCCTGTCATCATTCTGTTCATGATTAGTGTAAATAAAGAATGAAAAAGGAAAAACAATTTGATAACTGCTCTTGCGTATCATTTCCGTTGTTTTGTATCAATAATATTATAGATACCATTTATATCTGTAATACTCAGCTCTGCTACGCATGTTATTGGAAAAATTGTGAAAAACACTGACGTATCTCAAAAATACATTTTGGAATCCAACCCTTTTGCGATTAAGTCAATCCGTGCGTCCTTCATGAAGAAATAAGTGTCAAATACTAATATATATATATATACCTATATGTACTATAATAGTACATATAAGTCTATATATTTACTAATAGAATCCTGGTTGAAGTGCAGGTATATACATCATATTTCAGCTTAGGCAACTCCTCGGTCTTTTAGTGTGAGATCTTGGGGGGAATAAGTTTTGTCCAGTATATGCATATTGAAGCAAAGCTAGAAAAGTAGCCTTATTTCATGCGTATATTGTAACTACCTCTCTGAAAGGCAGATTAGATACGTGCAGTTTCTTCATGAAATACATAATCCCAAAGTAGCATACCATCACTAATGTATACAATCGATACACAAAAATAACACGATACAAGATAACCGCGCAATAGCATCATTTGACCATACCACTAGGTAACATATCACTGGCCCGACATATAACATGTGAAACTTCTTCGACATAGAGTGATATAATCCAATTCGCCTTGAGAAGTCTTTACTTCTAAGCAAGCAACCTGTCAATGCAAGTGTGCTCCTTTGATTTTCATAAAAACAGAAACTCAAGGAGACTAACAACATGGCAAGTAAGCTGATTCTAACTCGCTGCAAGATGACAACTCGTTTTGATGAAACATTCAATATCCAACGATACGCAACATCATCGTTACAATCATTTGTTTTTAACAGTAACAAAATTTCTATTTTTACAGCAGGGTTTTTCCAGAACGTTTTTTTTTTTGCAAATGAGAGGATTAACTAAGTCAAAAGAATCTAGGTTGTCATTGAGATTCCGACAAAATGATGAGATCAACTGTATGAGACGATTAGAGATCCAGAGCATTTCTCTGCTCTGCGCCTACACTAAAGTCTTGTTTAGTGCAGTTTTCTTGAAATCGTTTTGATTTTTTGGTAGCTTCCATTTATTGCCTGCTTATTGTCATCGAACGCTCGCCGACTGGCGTAGTTCTCTGCGCAATATGCTGCAGTTTAAGGTTTCCATTACGGTTCGTGTGGGACAAGAGCAGTCAGACATTCGACCTCTTGCTGAAGCGTGTGTAGCTTTTTCAAAATCTTTCCTGAACCGTCCTCGAACTAAGAGAGGACACCGGAGGTGCTGACACCGCCGGCTGTGCAAACTGTTTATTGCGTCGATAACTCTTCACTAGAGCCATGTTGCTGGAATATGGTCTAGTGGATATGTCGTGGCTTATCAGGGCAACTGGCTTCTTTCGATTTCGCGCTGGTCTGTAGTTTGATAACGTAATGGAAGAAGAAAACGCGTAATTAATCGGAGGCGGATTTATCGGTAAGTAACATCGCGCAATTGAGTGAACGCCATGGGTAGGTTGATTGCTGTTCGACCTTAGCTTCAGATTAGCTGCACTAGACGGAAGTGCTCGGGAAGACAATCTGGATAATGATGGCCGCTGTGATGGAAGTCCAAATTGTGAGCGTAACTTAAAGCCCTCTCCAGTGCGATCCCTTTCGATTGAACTGCCATTGGTGCAAATATAGAAGACAAGGGAATAAACATTTAGTAATTCGAGTGAAGCTAAATTGGCGACCTCGTTTTAAGATTTTTCGCTCCATAGAGAATAGCAAACTGGATCAAAGGTCCTTAAAAGATACATAATTGCGATCTAACGAAATATATATGAAAAAACTGTATCTAATGAAGAACTAACCTTATTAGGAATCCCGCCCAATACATTTGCTGATGCTCTTCGTCAGGTAGGATCGCACGCAGTGATACGGGAAAGAAAGGCTGTACCTCCATGAGAGTGCGACAGGCCACGACAACCGCTACAGCCAGCAGCGAACAGGGTAGGCTTTGAAGGATGATATCTACAAGGACAGACGAGAGAACCCCTTTTTTATCAAGTTCTAATAGAAATCACACTGACATAATTATTTCGCGCGGTTAAAGTATTGGAAACAAACGAATACATTCTTGCATCCTTCTGTCAATGAATTTCGTAATTAACATTTACCACAACGAAGTTGGGAGAGGTAACTTCTCTGCCCGCAAAGTAAGTTTGAAGAAATATAATATAGAGAAGTGCACAATTTTATTTTATTTGCTAGGCATTGATAATACATATCATGAGTACATTTAGCCAGCTTCCATCAAAACCGTGTTTTCCTTGACAGGCATCATTTTTTTTCTCTGGCCATCTGCATACTACCTCGTTGGTCCGCGATGCACACTTAATACGGCTAAACTTTTGGTGAAATACGAAAATACCAAAATATTCTGATTAAAAATTATTCGAATAATTTTTTCTACAAGAGGATGCTCTGCAAACGCTTACGATAAAGTGTTGCTTTCTCGAAATACTCGGCAAGATCACGCAAACTTTTTCTGGTCTGTGGATGTTTCACGTTCTCCAATAGGTATTCACTATAAAAAACGTAAAATAAGAGTTGATCTTAGTTAAACTAAGCCCAGCCTAACTTTAAGACCTTGTTACTAAGTAATACATTAGCGTAAACAATTAGAAGGCACTATTCAAGTCAGATACAAGATTCTGAAGGAAAAATGCGGATCAATAGAGAACAAGTCGTTTCTAGAGGAATCAAAAATACTATTCGCTAAAAGTACTGGAGTCATTCTTAGCTAGTTTTACATGTAGGACAGAATAATTTTTCCACGACTATATTATCCTTGAATGTTGTGAATTTCTAAGGCATTGTATAGCAAAAAAAAAACAGTCTCTACCAGATGGATGCCTCCATTGAGCCTGACGATAAAAAAGAACTGGCAGCAAAAAAAACTTGCCGGAAAAAACCAAGAAATGTGCTCAGCACCGGAACAGAAACGTTCCATTGGAAAAACAGCAACATCTGCCTTTCGGCGCGAACGTATTCGCTTAACTCGTACGGGCAGACGAGAAGCGCATTCAGATCGGATCCACGAGGAATATGATGATCCCATTCGATCGATTTCGCTGAAATATTGTTATATTATGTTAATTGATCGTTGCTCCAGTCGTATCGATACGGGACGCATCGTGATTATTTTCATATAGGTACTTCCAAATGCAAATGTTTTAGTTATTAACTCAAGAGCAATTAGTGATTTACGTGTGCCATCTGCTTAAACATCATTATTTTCATTTGTCGCATGTCTATGCCTGTCAACTCACAATTCAATTCATACTCTCTTGTCGAAGAGTCAGAGTGCAAGTCTTCTTCTGATTTAAGTTGATCGATGTTTTGATTCGAGAAAAAAAAAAGCTTTTTTGGCCGTTATTTTATATAAAGCCATGATGATAAACCATACCGCGACTCCGATATTGGAGCCTGAGGGGGCCATAAGCCATATTTTGCGGATTTATGGAAAATCTGTGCAAAAGATTTCATGAATATATCCATATAGTAATTATGTAGCAGCAATTATCTGAGCCAACTTACCAGCTAGCTGTAGACAAGTCAGGACTTGCATTTCGAGTTTGTCACCTAGAAATAGCCTGTTGGCGTGGTCGACGAATCGATCATAGAAGTAGATAGCTAACTGTATCACTTCGATGGAAAGCTTTAGAGTTTTCGCGGCGTTTAGCATCCAAGCAAGAATTTTCTCCCGATGTTCGATATAAGCAGAATGGCAAGACAATGGTATGCGATTCCGTTCGCGTTGCAGCAAGTTCGCAATAATCTAAATGCAATGGTAATTATGGAAGTTGTTCAACAAATGAAAGCACTATAAGTAAAAGCTTCTTTAAAGAGCTTTACTATAAATGAAAATCACAGTCAAACAACATGAGGTGCAAAGGTCCATCACAGCGGGAATTTGACGTTTATCAATGCGGGACTATCGCGAAAACTATCTGTTACATATGTTTGTAAATCGAAATAATAACCGTGTAGGTTAAGACACACGCAACTGCTGCTAGGAGCGCAATTTAGTCGTTCGCCACTGCACAAATCTGCATAGAGGGTTGTCAGAATGAATAACAGAATAAACTAAGCTACGTTATCAAACGAACTACAACAACTATAGTCTCTGGTTTTCCATCAAGGTGTGGTAAGCCATGCTAACAATAGCAATGGAACCTAAAAAACAGCGACCTGAATCACAATCACAAGCCAAACACACAAAAATTTCCGCATACGTACATCTAGTATTACTACATCCGAGGAGACAGCTATTGTAGTTCGATAGAATATCATCTGTGTAGATAATGGATGGCATTTGATGCGACAAGTTGGCACACGCGATTTCAATGCAATCATCTTGAAGCTTGAAAGTCACCTATCAAAAACTATCGCGATTTAAATAGGCTATATTTCTTGCTTTGTATGCGTCGAGCCTAGTCATTATAAGCACTCTTCCAAAATTGATGCTTTGCGAGGCCAATGCCCTGCAATTGCCACAGGCAGATAGTGCCAAACCTAATGACACATCTGTACAAATCAATTAATTGATATGTGTGATGGGTGTGCATACATATTTAAGAGTGCGATCAGTATCTTTAAAGTAGTAATATATCTACTACTTCAAATAATTGTCCTTATAAAAAAACTGGGTTTAATTACGGTCAGTTTTATTCGCCTGAAATCGATCCATATAT